ATCTTTTGTTATTAACTACATAATGAGAAAGAAGCCTTTAATGGGGTAGAAAGTGTACATATTTGCTCACCTGGGTTTGAAGGGAATTAGCAATTTGTCCTCAATTTTCTTTTAACTTTCTGTATGAAACGTCAAACAGACACAGGTGCACCTGTCAAACCTCCACTAGTTTTTCTTCCATTTCTTGGGTCCAAATAAACCGAAAATGAACGCTCTTAACTTCTTCCTCAACCTCCCGCTGGCCTGCAGGTATACACACACACACACACACACACACACACACACACACACACACACACACACACGCACACACACACGCACACACAAGTGAATGCTGCTCTCTCATTGGCTGTAGGCGATCGCCAATGTTATTTTCAGTCAAAACTCATTTCACACGGCATGATTTGAATCGCCGACGGCCCCACATATTTAGCACGCCAAATATCTCACAGGCATCGGCGATTATCTCAGATCTCAGATCGCGTCTTCGATAGCTAATACTGTGTGATTGTCACTGACATGCATGAGCACCGATTTGCCTGTGATTTCAGGCATTTGTCTGCGATTTCTCAAAACCTGTCGTCGAAAAATCAGGGCTAAAATCATGCAGTCTGAACTCTGCACAATCTCACGGCAAATCATAACTTTTTAATTTAGTGGCTAATTCGTATGAATTTGTATGATCTAATTCGTACAATTTAGTACGACTTGCTCATCCCCCAGTGACGGTTGGGTTTAGGGGTGGGGTTAGGTGCCACGCCTCCTTTTTAAAATCGTACAATTTCGTACGACTAATCTCATACGAATTCGCCACTAAACTGGCAAATCGTTAAATATTTACGTTTTCTCGCGAGATCAGGCTGGCATAACAGACACCTCCTAATCACCATTTCCATTTGTTGTCAACACTGACAGCTGGAGGGGCGTGGTTAAGTATGTTAGCCACGCCCATTACTTCAGACAGACGTCATCTGAGAATTTCACTGAAAACAAACAGGAAGTGCATTTTCAGAATTCGATTTTAGATTACAAGGGCAAACTGTTTTATTTGTCTTAACAACATGCAGAGATGAATTGTTTATCTTAAAACTAGCAATGCGAGCTAACAAAATCAAGATGGTTAGTTTTGAATTCATGTGTACTTTAAAAGCACAAACATCCACCAGACTGAAAGCGTGACAAGCGGCCCCGGTGTCCCTAAATCCTCATTGTTGCTGGTATTGCATGGAGTCAGTAATTACCCATGAGTCTCTGATGTTGTAAATGTCCACTGCATTGGTGCGTGGAGCCCCCCAGGATAAACCCTGAGCCGGGTTCATTAGTGAAAACTCCCACTGCGCCTCACAGACCTGACGGATACAGAGCGACAGTCAGACACACACACACACATTCAGAAAGTTAAACACTAATGGATTAATGCACAACATAGACTCGACTTACTGTAAATGTAGATGAGGAAACACCCTTCTGAATGCATGTCTGGGAATCCTTAATGGGGTGAGTCTGGATTGTCTTGTAAACTTCAGGATACCTGTGACATTAAGCATTGTTCTGGCTTTGCAGGAGGCTCGTTTGTGCCGGTTCGGGTCAAAGATAAAAGGTGGCCTCGAAAAATCTGCAAAATAGAGAAAACGTGCCAACACGTGCCTCCAGACTGACTCTCAGTGCTTTAGAGGACATAACTGTTCGGAATGAAATACAACAACGAAAACATTTTTGATGACAGTCAGTTCTGTGATATGACTGGCCACTTTATTAGGTGCACCTTACTAGTACCGACCCCTTATTGCCTTCAGAACTGCCTTAATCCTTCGTGGCATAGATTCTAGAAGGTACTGGAAATATTCGTCAGAGATTTTGGTTTATATTGACATGATAGTATCACACAGTTGCTGCAGATTTATCGGATGTATCACACAGTTGCTGCAGATTTATCCATGATGCAAATCTCCTGTTCCACCACATCCCAATGGTGCTCTATTGGATTGAGATCTGGTGACTTTGAAGACCATTTGAGTACAGTGAACTCATTGTCATGTTCAAGAAATCAGTCTGAGATGATTCGTGTTTTATGACATGGCATGTTATCCTGCGTTAGCAGAAGATGAGTACACTGTGGTCATAAAGGGATGGACATGGTCAGCAACAATACTCAGGTGGGCTGTGGGGTTGACATGATGCTCAAATGGAACTAATAGGCCCAAAGTGTGCCAAGAAAATATCCTTCACATCATTACACTCCACCACCAGTCTGAACCCTTGATACAAGGCAGGATGGATCCATGCCTTCACGCTGTTGATGCCAAAATTCTTCAGAATGTTTCATTTGTTATAAAAAGTTTATTCCACCAAATATTAAGTTCTTAACTCTTCTGATGTTCAAGCACTGGTATTGTGTGTTCTAGGAGTTATTATAATAAATGTATCCAACAAGATGACTCCTTTTTTATTTTAAGCGACCAAAAAAAGCCTATAAATGACAACATTTTTATTTTAAATTTTGTAGAAATGTCATCAACAGCTTATCAGAATAACACAAATCTTACGTTTCCTCAGACACATAACTAAATTGACATTTAGAGATTTTTTGGGGTATAAAATAAAAGGTGGATTATATTAATTTTACTGATAGGAAAAGACTTTCTCTGAAAAAGAACATTCCCTTTTTCTCTCTTAGAAGAAATTCACTCATGAATACAGATTTTCGAGTAAATTCTTCGTTTATTTAGTAACCGTTGTTTATGACTGAAGTTTTTGACAATACGAAAAGTCTGCGTGAAACGGAAATTGCGGAGACCTTTATTTTAGAACAAGCTGACCTATTATGGCCATTTTTATGATGCAAAACTAAGTTTTTAAGATGTAGAATAAGTCTCTGTTGCCTCCAGTGTGTGCATGTGAAGTTTTAGCTCAAAATACCCCAATAAATAATGTCTTATAACTCTTTGAATCTGCCCCTTTTAGGCTTTGATCCTAATTATGCCGTTTAGGTGCCTGTCACTTTAAATTCAAATAAGATTTTTCAAAAGAGGGCGGAGCAACAGATGCCTATGGATCAGCATAGTGGCAGATTCAAAAACAGGACAAACATACTATGCTAGTGAGGGAGAGATCATCACTAGTGGGCGGGGCTTTCCCCCTCTGATGACACATTCAAAGGGAGAATGTCAATCAAAGTGTTTCTGCAGAAAAGTGTGAATATAAAAAAAAATTTAATTAATCAATTTTTAGGATTAAAAGCTGCTGATATTCGCCTTCTGTTGCCACACAACTGTGTTTAAACCTCATATAAAATGATTTTTACATAATAGGTCCCCTTTAAACTGAAATAGAATATTGAGTAGGGGGCGGAGCTTTCTTTTTGCACATCACTCCCTCATAGCAAACTAATAGTCAAAGCGGCGTGGCTAAAAATACGATTGCTGAATCATCAAAAACCTGAATAACAATATTAGCATGTTGAATAACAAGAATAACATGTAAAATTTGATTTCACACAGACTTTTTCCACAGAAAATACAAATTAAAAGTTGCTGTATTTTAAATGAATAGTCTTTCTCAATAAAATTGCATTGAATGCAATGCTTGTGTATGCACCTTTTGTGCATGCTTGTGTATGCACCTTTTGTAAAGCTGCCGTGAAACAAACATTGTAAAAAGCGCTACACAAATGAACTTGAATTGAACCGAGTGTGTTTGAGATGTGATTTAAATCAGTGTTTCTCAACCACGTGCCTGGAGGAGCACCAGCACTGCATGTTTTGGATGTCTCCTTTGTCTGTCACACCCATTACAGATCTCTCTCTAATAATGAGCAGATGATCTGAATCAGGCGTGTTTGGGTAAGAAGACATGGGAAATGCGGTCCTTCAGGGATGTGGTTGAGAAACGCTATTTTAGATGATCCCATGGAAAACAACTGAAGTAAATAAGTGTACAGAAACAGCCGCTGCAGTAGATGGAGGAGAGTTTATTTGCTTTGAAACTTGGTGCGCTTCTACAAAAAGAAGCCAAATTTGTAAAGGCAGTAACAAGTCATAAGAAACAAAACCTTAAGAAAACTGACTGACGACTAATGAATTACTGAAATCTCTCTGTCTATATTTGTGAGCTCTTACTTCAAGCCGTGAAACCACAGAATGATGAAAAGCAAGTAAACACATGTAATGTCAAGTAGAGTATAGTATTGATGGTATCCTGCAGTGTTTAAATGAGCTTCTGATCTCCTTGTAGGTGTTTGTACCTGTGTTTTGATGCATGCGGACATCACAGCCAAACAACCTGAAGAAGAGCTGAGATGAAGAACTAAATCTCCCAAGTAAATGCGATAGAAGCTGTAAGATCTGAACAGAAAGCATCTTAGAAGTCTATATAAATACGCCACTTAAACTGCAAAAAATTAAATTAGATATCTTGAAATCACAACATTTGTACATGGTAATTACAACTGATGCATTGCGAGAAGAAGTTGATTAAATGCGAGTTTAAAAGAACAGTTCATCCCCAAAAATGGGGGTTTTAGGCATTATTTACTCATTTTATGCAATCCATATTTGTCTAATGCAACACAAAGAGAGATTTTGTCAGAATTTTCACACAACATTCTTCAAAATATCTCTCATTTTGTATTATGAAAGATTAAATCAAGTAAAAAAAAAATGTCAATCGGATATTACTTCTCTTTAACGACTCACTATAATATGCGATATGACCCTTAAAAGGGATTAGTTCACCCAAAAACTACAGATTACCTGACGATTTACTCTTCCTTTAAACCTTTATGAGATTTTGTTGGATACCAAAGAAGATATTTTAAAGAATGTTGGCCCCTATATACTTCCATATATAAAAAAAAATACTACAGAAGTCAATAAGTGCCAACATTATTCAAAATATCTTCTTTTGTGTTTAACAGAGGAAAAAACCTCATATAGGTTTTAAAGAATGAGTACATGACATAATTTGCAATTTTGGGTGAAATACCCCTTTAAAGTTTGGACCCTCTCAACTAAAAACACAGTCCGGAACCCAAAAAAAAAGTCTATAAACGCTGAGCAAAATTTGAATCACAGGTTTATAGTGTCTTTTACTGATCCGAAATCAGATGAATCTAAACTAGAGACTAGTTACACTGTTTAATTGCTGAATTCATATCAATTTGATGTCCTTTCATGAACACACACCAAGAATGAGTGTTTTCTTACGCCTAAATACAAACACAGTCATCATAAAGCAACAAACCATCATGTGTGTTTCTAAACAGGCCATTTAAAGGGACGGTTCACTCAAAAATGTATAATCTGTCACTATTAACTCACCCTCTACTCGAGTTTCTTTCTTCTGTTAAACACAAAAAGAGATCCGTAAAAAAAAGATTCATACAACATTCTTCAAACTATCTCTCATTTTGCATTATAAAGAATAAAACAAGTTAATAAATGACAATTGGACTTTTTTGGGTGAACTAATTCTCTTTAACGACTCACTAAAATATGCATTATGCCCATTAAAAGGAAAAGTTCACCCAAAATCTACAAATTAACCAATAATTTACTCTTCTTTTAAATCTTTATGAGATTGTTAAACACAAAAGGAGATATTCTAAAGAAATGTTGGCACCTATTGACTTCCATAGTAAAATAAAATACTATTAAAGTCAATAAGTGCTAACATTCTTCAAAATATCTTCTTTTGTGCTTCTCAGAGGAAATCTCATATAGGTTTTGAACAAATGAAAGATGAGTAAATGACAGGATTTGCAATTTGGGCGAACTATTCCTTCAAGTTTGGACTCTCTCAGATGACAAAACTACAGTCCGGAATCCAAAATGAAGTCTATTAACGCTGAGCAGAATCGCAATCACTGATTTATGGTGTCTTTTACTGATCCGAAATCAGATGAACATTCTTCAAAATCTCTCTCATTTTGCATTTAAAAGAACAAAACAAGTAAATAATGTCAATTGAACTATTTTGGGGTGAACTAATCTTTTAATGACTCACTAAAATATGCGTTATGCCCATTAAAAGGGGAAAGTTCACCCAAAAACTACAAAGTACCTGATCATTTACTCTTCTCTTAAACCTTTATGAGATTTTGTTGGACACAGAAGGAGATATTCTAAAGAATGTTGGCACCTATTGACTTCCATTGTAGAATAAAATACTATTGAAATCAGTAAGCGCCAACATTCGTCAAAATATCTTCTTTTGCGTTTAACCTCATATAGGTTTAAAACAAGCAATGAGTAAAATGGCAGAATTTGTACTTTTAGGCAAACTGTCCCTTTAAGTTTGGACCCTCTCAAACTAAACACACAGTCCGGAACCCAAAATAAAGTCAATTAACGGTGAGCAGAATCGCAATCACAGGTTTATGGTGTCTTTTACTGATCCGAAATCAGATGAATCTTAACTAGAGACCATTTTTTCTGATGTTTAATCGCTGAATTCATATCAATTTGATGTCTTTGCTTGAACACACAACAGGAATGAGTGTTTTCTCACGCTTAAATACAAACACCGTCATCATAAAGCAACAAATCATCAAGTGTGTTTCTAAACAGGCCGTTTAAAAGGGACCGTTCACTCCAAAATTTATATGCTATCATTATTAACTCACTTTTCAGTTGTTCCATTAGTTTTGCCTACAAAGGAAGTCTATGGTTACCAGTTTTCAGCATTCTTCAAAATACCTTCCTTTCTGTTTAATGGAAGAAAGAAGCTCATAAATGTTTGCAAACACTTGAGGGAGAGTAGATCGTGTTGATGAATGTTGTAACCATTAACTTCCATTAGATTTTCCAACTTTGCAAGTCAATGGTGACCGGTTTTCAACATTTATCAAAATATCTTCTTTTGAGTTCAAAGGAAGAAAGAAGCTCATAAATGCTTGGAAGCATTAAAGGGAGCATAGATAGAACTGATGAATGTTGTAACCATCAACTTCCATTTGCTTTTCCTACTATGGAAGTCAATGGTTACCGGTTTTTGACATTCTTCAAAATGTCTTGTGTTCGATGGAAGAAAAAGTACTTAAATGTTTGCAAGCATGTGAGGGAGAGTAAATAGTGTTCTTAAATGTTGCAATGAATAACTTCCATTTGTTTTTACTACTATGGAAGTCAATGCTTACCAGTTTTCAACATTTTTCAAAATATCTTCTTTTGTGTTCAATGGAAAAAAGAAGCTCATAAATGTTTGCAAGTACTTGAGGGAGAGTAAAAATGAACTTTATTTGGGTGAACTGTCCCTTTAAATCTTGCCCAACATTCATTACGGATCACTGGAGCGGCGTCAATTAGCGCATTAGCTGAAAACCAGATAGTAGAGAGACAGTGGGTTTGTGCGCGAGTGTAGAAGAGGTGTGTGTTTGATCCGTGGGAATGGTTTAAGTCACTTTTTGGGAGGGCTGTAGGGCTCCAGCAGCTGCTTGGAGAAAGTGTTGACCTTGTCGGCTCCTCGAACCTCGTGAGGAAGCAGAGGCAACTTTACTATGTGGAAATCTTCATATAAATCCTCCATCTGAGAGAGAGAAAGAGAGAGAGAGGCAGAGGGAGAGATCATTTACCCTGAATTCAGAGTTAGACAATAAAACATTAAACATAAATAAAACAAATCAACAAAACTTTAATATTTACTAGGAGAAAAATACAGATTGTCTCCTATCAGCACAGTATATTAACGCCTGACACAAAAAGTTAAGGAAGGGGAAAAAAAGAAAGAAAAAAGGGAGATAAAAGCAAAAAGCAACAAAACAATAGAAAAGAGGAAAAGGATAGAGACAGAGAAATGTATTGATAAAAAAGGGGGAGAGGAAAATAGAAAAGTAGGTGATGGAAAATGTGGACAGAACAAGATAAAAACATATTAAAATAAGTAGGCATGTACAAGGAAAATAAAGGGGAGAAAGTCTTTTTTTTTTTTTTTAAGGAAAAATATACATGTTAAAGAAAAGAAAGGAATAGGAAAAAGAGGCACTGAATGAGTTGGAAAAGAAAGTTAATAAAGTTTAAAAGGAAAAATACAAAAAGAGAAAATAAAACAGACATAAAGAAATGTGAATAGGAAAGGTCAGGAAAAAGGCATTTAAAAAAAGAGAAAACTAAATTGGAAAAAAGGAAAACAAGAGATGAACAAGAAGTATAAAGAACAAAAAAGGAAAGACCAAAAAAGTAGGAGATAGAAAAGAAAGAAAAGGAAATAATAAATGAAAAAAGAAAAACAAAAACAAAAAAGAAAAAGAAAAGAAACGAAACAGAAAATAAAATGGAAAAGGGAATGAAACGGAAAAGGAAACAAAAAACGGAAAAAGAAAAGAAAAAAGTAAATTAAACAGAAAAAGAACACAAAACAGAAAACAAAACAGAAAAGGAAAAAAAGGAAAAAAAAAACAGGAAATGGAATAGGAATCAAAACTGAAAAAGAAACGAAAAAGGAAAAGAAACAAAAAAGAACAAGAAAATTAAACGAAACAGAAAAGGAAACAAAACGGAAATGAAACAAAACTGAAATTTAAATAAAATGGAAAAACAACAGGAAATTAAAATGGGAAAAAAGGAAATAAAAACAAATCAGAAAAAAAACGCAAATGAAATGGAAAAATAAAAGGAAAAAGGAACTGAAGGAGGAAACAAAAGGAAAAAAAAACAGCAAATGAAATGGGAAAGGAAACAAATATGAAAAGGAAATCAAACGAAAAAAGAAAAGGAAAAAGAGATGGAAAGGAAACAGGAAATGAAATGGAAAAAGACAACGAAAACAAAACAAAACGGAAAAAGAACAAGAAATTAAACAGAAAAAGAAAAAGGAAACCAAAGGAAGAAAAACAATAAACAGAAAAGGAAACAAAACCGAAAAAGAACAGGAAATGAAACGAAAAAAGGAAATTAAACGGAAAATAAAGAAAATGAAATGGAAAAGGAAACTAAACAAAAAAAGGAAAGGTAACTGAAAAGGAATTAAAAAAGGAAAGGAAATTTTAAAAAAAAGGATTAGACATTTTAAGATTTCTGTGTTAAACTTGCGACGAGTCTCTTTGACCAACCCACTGATCGGCCGAAAGCGGGAAGGACAGAGACTCATCTGCTCAATGGGGAACACCTGGGTTCTCCTCTATAAAAGCCAGCAGTGTTGGCTTGTGAAGAAGCTGTGCTTTTGCTCCTGTTTGTTTTGTTTCTTTTTAGATTTGGTTAATCTTTGATTTTGGTTTACCTAAAGTGAGCACTTTATTATTCTTTAATGTTTAAATAAATACTTTTGGTACCAAACCATCTGGTGTATGTCCTCCCTTTAATTTTGTCATCGCCTTTGAGCCGGGTCGTGACAAACTCCAGAATGTAGAGGTACATTACACACTGGCTGGAGTGATATTTTATCGTGATGATGTTTTACAATAAAGACAAAACACAAAAACCTCTAGAGAGGAATTTAGTCACACACACACACACACACACACACACACACACACACACACACACACCTGGTCCAGGTACTTTGACTGAATCTTGTGTCGGGCTTCACACATCTTGCAAGGCCGCTCATTGTCAGGGAAAACCAGCTGGTTGACGATAATGTTGTGTGTGTCGATGCGACACTTGGCAAGTTCCTGAATCAGACGCTCCGTCTCGTACAGAGACAGAAACTCTGCGATGCACACACAGATGAACGTTGTCTGCTCCTGTACACACAACATACATACATGCATACATCCAGCCATTTAGAGCAGTTTCACAATACATCCGTTCAATTTAAGGGGACAATTCACTAAATATATGAACTTCCTCATCACTGACTTACACTTAAGTGAGTCTATTCTCAATCTGAACACAAAACAAGATATTCTGAAAAATGTTGAAAAAAATAGCCATTGACTTTTAGCAACAACAAAAAAAAAATACTATTGAAGTGGATGGATGATGGCTTCCAACATTCTTCAGAATATCTTCCCTCGTGCTCAACATGAGAAAGAAACTCACACATGTTTGGAACAAGTGGAGGACGAGTAAATAATGAGTTTTCATTTTTGGGTGAACCACTCAAATCAGGGGACACTGACCGGGTCCTTGAACTGCTCGCTGACGGAGCGGATGACAGGCAGCGTCTCCTCCAGTTTGGACGCCAGCTGATCTGCATTCATGTCTCCCAGGCCCAACATATTACACATCTGCAACGGTTTAACAGAACTACATTTAAAACGGACATTTAACTCATTTACACTTTTAGCCACAAAAGCATTATTACAACAGTATTCAGTGCGTCTCTGCTACTAAAAACCCAAGATGCAGCACTCAGGAATGGGCTTTAAAAAAAAAAAAAAAAAAAAAAAACTGCATAGCAAGGGGTCCACTTGGTGTGATATTATGAACGTGATGGAATAACAGACCGGTTAGAAATAGGAAGACAAAATGTTATAAGCATGGATGACGAAACCTGCAAAAACAGTAAACAAACAAACAAACAAATAAATAAATAAATAAAAATAGCAAATTAATAAATGTATAAATCCACAAATTCCTGCATAAATAAATATATAAATAATAAATACACACACATATATATATATATATACACACACACACACATATATATATATATATATATATATATATATATATATATACACACACACATATATATATATATATATATATATACACACATATACACATATATATATATATATATATATATATATATATACATATGTTTTTAGAAGAAAAGTTACACCGGAAACTGTTGTAATAACACTTTTCCGATATTATAAAAAGGGTTTGTGGTCGTGGGTCACAAACACGCAGTTTTCCCGAATGCAGCAGCGATACCTGTGAGATGAAGGGGCTGATCTGGTTCTTGATCTGCATGAGGCGTCCCAAACCTCGCTCCACGATGGTGGGGAAGTTGAGCAGACGCAGAGTGTGTCCTGTGGGAGCCGTGTCAAACACCACTACTGAGAAATTCATGCCTTTCACTAACCTACAGAAGAGGAAGAAGAATAAGGCAATCAGTATCGTATCATTTATTTAATGATATATCAGCTTCATTGGCTAGGTTTATGGCAAAAAGAAATCAGAAGAATACAAAAATAATTAAAAAAACCCATTTAAACAAACAAACGCAGGCTATTTGATAAATCAGTCATTGTTTTTTTTAATAAATATAAAATACAGAACAAAATAAAAAAACATTACTGAAATAATCATATGCATAAAATATTTATTACATTTACATGATTATCTTTCGTCCATAATAAAATAGTATTTATATTATTACAAATTAATAAAATTACTTAAAAATACAACTTAACTAGATATGTAAAAAATATTAAATATTATATTATGAATTTATTATTATATATATATATAAATAAAAGTAATCGTTTGAATTAAATAGAATATAATATAATAGCATAATAATAATAATAATAATAATAATAATAATAAATATAAACCAAAATGTTAAATATTAAAAAAGAAACTTTTACCATTTTAATAATGTAATTTTTTAAAATTACTATTTAATAATTACTATTGAATACTTGTATTTAATAATTATTATTTAATTATTTATAAAAATTAAATAAATGAATGTGAATCTATTAAATATAAGACCAGAAGAGTGGGTGGTGCGCCATCTAGACGCAAAACATTGATACTGCACAAAAAAGCCCAACAATACAGCAAGAGTGTTACACAGTAGAAATGTTGTTGTCGTTTTTATTGAATTATGTAATTCGGATTGCTTCAGTCCCTTGTGCAAGACAAGAAGGCAGATTTCCCTTTCATTTTTTCTTTAAAGAATACTCTGTAACGTTGATTCATTTTGAAGCGTTCTTGACCTACAAAGCTTTTGTTGAAGAGCTGTTTGAAATGCAAAATCAAGAACCAAAGGCTAAAACTACATCTAGATGAATGATCATACAAAGTGAATGAATGAGCTTTGTAAAACAGAGCAAGATTATAAACAGGGTTCCCACTCTTTCATAACCACCAGATTCAAGGACTTTCAAAAACACCATTAATTTCAAATTAAGCACATTTTTTGAATCCCCCAACATATGTAGCACCTAAAAAAAGTCCTTAACATACTTGACAATTCGCTCACATTTAATATTTACATTAAAAAGTCAGGGTAATGATGGTGTTTTGAATGTGCCAACTGCCCACACAAATGAAGACCCTGTTTATACAGTCATGTTGAAAGGACTTTGTTAAATTCAACACTGTAATATTCAAATGCAGTTTCTGAAATATTGATAAAATGTGCATTATTTGTCATATTTATTGTACAACATTTAAACTTACAATTTTTTAAATGAGGAACTGAACATTTTTAGATCTGTTTTTGGCATGAGCACAGTCAGGGGCGGATATAACCAATAAGCGAGGTAAGCGGCCCTAATAAATATCTAGAAGCATAAGTTATACCTATAAACTATACATAACATGGTTTTATACCATATTTATATGGTGAGAGTTAAACAAATACAATTTTAACGTAATAAAATAATATTTAGTATACAATTAAATATAATATTATGAAAATAATGTATTACGCAATAATAAAAATGACCAAATAAAATCTCCATCATGGAGCAGTTCAGCAGTCAAATTTATTAAAAATATATATAAATATATTCATTATTTTAGTTGTAAATTAATTTTAAGAAAACTAAGGCCGTATTCATACTATGTACAGTTGCCTCGAACCGGGCCAAAGCATGCTTGTCCCCCCTCCCGTCTCCCCTGACGGCCCGCACTCAAGCCTGGTTTACACTTCTGCGTCAAGTGACTGGCGTAACCATCGGCGCATGCAACGCCCGTAGCTTTGCATTTATGCTTCTGCGCGCTGTCTCTGTGGGTCTGCATTAACACTTCCGAAATGCTAGTTGGCAGTGAGGTGTAAATGTTCCTCTTGTGTCGAGTTTCTTCGCTACTGTTTTGCTTTTCCTGAACACTTCCTGGAAGAACAAGTGGCTCAAACTCGCTCATTTTGAGGCAGGAAACGGCGGACGTGCAACAACTTTAACTATGAGGTAAACACAAAACAAAACTCTCCATCCGGAGCTCCTTCACGGGACTCCACACTTGTAAACAATCGCTCCATCAGGCTCGCACCATTCGCGCGGCTCTTCAGCGCTCGTCAGCGCTACCAAGCCGACCAATCACAGAGCTTGCGCTACGCGTCGTTGCGACGTGTAGTTACATTATTTGAGAGGTGCACGTCAGCGACGCCGATGGCCACGGCGAAGGGCTATGCGTCAGCGCCGTAGCATACGCCGGCGTTTGAAGCAGAAGTATAAATCAGCCTTCACACTACAATCGGGCCTGGGCACTCTTCCGTCATCGATGCTGCGCTGTTCAGTTAGCGCTCTCGCTCAGCACAGTGGAGATTTCTCTAGTAATATCCGTTCAGTCGTTTGATATGCAGTGACATGCAGTCAAATATTTCGCCAAACAGTCCTTAGGGATGCGGTGACACGCAGTCAGATATTTTGCCGTACAGATCCGCCACTTTTGGCGCTCATAAACAATCATAAAGTCCTCGTGCTGCAGGAATAAGGAGGTCTGCTGAAGGTGCGCAGTTGTCGTGCCTTGAGGAGTTTGCGTCTTTAATTTCGTCAGTTTGAACAGTAAGAATGATTATTAAATCCATATGAAACATCCCCTTAAAGTCACGTCTCGCTTTCAGTTTCGGGCTTTGGCGCGTTTTGCACTCACACTACAAGTGTACCGCGCCGAAGCCCAAGTGAACCGTGATTCAGCGCGCACACACTTCTCAAACGATCCGGGAAATGGGCCTGGGCATGGTTCGGATAGCATAGTGTGAGTAGGCCCTAAATCACTTAAAATGTAGAGATTGTATTAATTTAAAATGTGGAAAAGATGATTGAGTGATATATAAAAAAAAATAATAAAAAAAATAAATAAAACAGTACTATAAATAAAAAATGAATAAAAGTAATTAGAAATTTTGGGGCCCTAAGCTATTCCAGCCATGGGACCAAAGTCCTGAAACGCACCCTCATTTCAGGACATTTCAGAACAACTGCTGAAATAACACCATTAACTAATTGAATTTCAAAGTTAATTTGAAATTATTATTATTTGTTTGTTTCTAAGCACTTTCCAGGCCTTGAATTCATATGTCTGAAGTATTTTCAAGAGGTGTGGGAACCCTGAATAAAGCAGTGTGCAATAAGTGAAATGCCTTGAACGCGAGTCTGACCTCATGACCTCTGCGTAGCTCATGGCCTCATCGATGCCAGGGAAAGCACTCATGGCCTCCTGCATCATCTTTTTCCCCATACTGAGCATGTTGTCCTCCTCGAAGAACTCATCCGGCAGCTCTGCCACACCCAGACTGGGGTCGATCTCCTGCAGACAGACACACTCCTCATCGTTATATTACAGTGCTCAACATATACATTCGCTGGCCACTTTATTAGGTACACCTTACTGGTACCGGGTTGGACCCCCTTTTGCCTTGAGTACTGCATTAATCCTTCGTGGCATAGATTCAACAAGATATTGGAAACATTCCTCAGAGATTTTGACTTTTCGAAAATACCGGTAAATTCGTTCCGGCGATTTTCCGAAAAGAGAAGTTGTAACATCACCGGTATATTATTTGCCGAAATGCTGCGATGTGCGAACGCATAAGGAAGATTGCCGGAAAGAGCACGTTCACGTTGAGAACGTGCTGACGTGTGACGTCTACTTTAGCCAATCAGAACATTCAGACGCATTCACATCTGCGCTGTTTATGAAGATAAAAGTCTTTGAATATTTTTCCAGACACATTTAGCTGCTAGATGTTAGCCAGATAACATTTTTAGGTTCCTTCTTAATGCCAACTGTGTAAAAGATTATCAATACAAATGCTTATGACAAACCGGCGTTTGTTTACCTTCAAGCTCTGCTTGTTGCTTGACGCGAGTGCACGTGAAGGAGTCGATAAGCGCCAGCACACACGCATATTATAAACATCTCGACATGTAAAAGTATTCCTCCATGTGTTTTTATACAAGTTGTTTACAAATTATGTGAATGGATAATTATTGTGATGTAGTCAAATGTGTAAACATTTAACTGCGCTTCACTTTTCTGCCGTTGGATGTCTCACAAAGCAGCTGCATGAATGCTAAAGCTTTAAATAAAAGTGGAACCATCAAGAAGAGGACGACCCCTTCTATGTTTACAAATACAAGCGCAGCTGTTTAGAGGTCATTTCTGGTTAATGATGGCAGAATTTACTAGTATTTTCGAATGGATGTGTAAATGGTCTTTTCCGGAAAAAATACGGAACGTCCGTGCCTGTGTGAACACCTTTTTTATGAATTTACCAATAAAGTTGTTCCGGAAATTTTCCAGATTTTTACCGGTATCACTGTGTGAAAGGGGCTAAAACCATCACATTTAAAATGACCATCAGTTATGCCCATATCTAGGAAACATACTTATATTTTTCTTAGATATATAATAATAATTGCTGTTTGGTGTGCAGACATCAGTCAGTACTTTAACACTTATACTATATCTACAAATATGTGTACCTCAAAATGTCAGAAGAGAATAATAAACCTTTTCCTTTGTGGGTATTAGGAATGCACAACATATCGCAGGGTTCAACACTAAGGATTTTTTTTACTGGCCCGATCTGACCAGTGGTTCAGATTTTTACTTGCCCTGCCAATACTTTCACTAGTCCTACCAAAAAATAAATAAATAAATAAATAAAAAATAAAAAGAGAGTTAATAGATATTTCTTAGCCACAAATAAAAATAAAAAAGTGTCAAAATGTTTGTAAATCTTGAATTTAAATATTAAAAAAAAAAAAAGTTAATAAATCTATAATGAGCAAAATTCAATGTGTTTTGCAAATAAAAGTAGCAAAATGTGCAGGTATTTTATTGCAAAACAAAAGATGGCTGACCTGCCAAAATGATGGCAAACATCAAAACATCTTTTTTTTTTTAGTCATGGTATACCCTCGTAAATGTCTGCTTCCAAGACGTTCGAAACAAATGTTTTCCTTTTGCATCATCACTTGATGTTGCCGCCACGTTGCGGTCTCTTTGCTGTACTGGTTGTAATGGGAAAAATTACATGCTCACAACATCCAATCAGATAAGAGGAACCGAGAAGGTAGCACTTGAAGGCTTAAAAATAAGGACTGTTTCTTAATTCTGACTGTGTTTGCACGCAATTGACAAATGGTCACAGGCAAATTAAACTTTAGTGACAGGGCATCAGTGGCTCGATCGGGCCGGTAACAATCCTGTTTACTGTACAGAGCATCTCACACACTGGCCCCGGACCATCGGGCAGTCCTTATTGTTGAGCCCTGTATCGTTTGAGCATCAATATCGCAATGTTTGTATTCACAATAGTGACATCTCAGGATTATTTACTTATTAAAGATTAAAAGATAAAGACATCATTAAATATTATTATTTTTAAATAATTTATGCAGTGATGGCCAGGTAATTTTATGTTTGATTGTTCAATCTGTACCTGAATACTGCTAGACTCTCCATAAAGCACTGTTTGTTTAACTGTTTTGCTCTGTTGTATTTAAATATGCTTGTAATTTATTATAATTTATGCAATTGCACTGCATAAAAAAAAGATTTGATCATCCCAACCTAATGACGTCTTCCCTAATAGACCAATTCAAATCATCTGGTGAATCTAAATTCATATCATAATATATAAAATTACAGACAAACTAAATATTGCAATGTCAGATTTTTCCAATACAGTGGAGCACTAGTGCGAATCCAGCAATTGACTCTGATCGGACTAAGAGAAAAGAAAAAAAGGCTAGCTTTCATTTCTTATGGGTGGGAATTTGTTTCATCATTAGGCTGGGTTTTATTATTGGACCTGGCAACCCTTAAAAACACGCCACAGTTTCATGCTAACTTTTTCACATGACTGCGAAACGAATGGATATTGATGGTGAATGTCGTGGTGTTGTTTTTAGTGTACACACTGTATTTACTGAAAACAAAACAAAAAACAACAAACCATAGCAAAGAGGTTGTCGTAGCCCTTGACTTTAGTGGGAACCTTGGAGAACTTCTGGTCAAAGGCGTCTGAGATGTTGTGTGCTGGATCTGTGGATATGATGAGGACGCTTTCCCTCACCGCCGCCAACTGAACCGCCAGACTGCAGCTGCAATGCCACAAAAACCAGCTTAAAAATGACAATAACTCAAGAAGGATCAAGCATATGACTTTCTTTAGGAGGCACTTCCACAGATGAAATCACTGTTTTTATACTATGATCAAGATTATCTCTAACATGGTATTGCTTTACATGCTAAAAGTTTGAGTTTTTTTATTTATCTAAATCAGTATTCTTTCTTTACAAGAGCAAAAATTAAGTTAATTTTGGGTGTCATTTACAATTAGGGTGGCACGGTGGCTTAGTGGTTAGCAATGTTGCCTTAAAGCAATAAAGTCGCTGGTTTGAGTACCTGCTAGGCCAGCTGGCATTTCTGTGTGGAGTTTGCATGTTCGTCCCGTGTTGGTATGGGTTTCCTCTGGTTTCCTCCACAGTCCAAACACATGCGCTATAGTTGAATTGAATAAACTACATTGGCTGTAGTGTAGTGCAATTAATCGAAAAGTAATCTAAATCGACATTCAGAACCTATAATCGATCTAATATTTCTAGGTCAATTTTCTCCATTACTTTCCCTACCGTATGTGGAGTCACATGAAACCAATCTGTTAAGGCTAATTCATACTTATCATATTATTTTGACGGTGGTTGTGTTGCGACACCCGATTAATAAAGGGACTAAGCCCAAAAGAAAATGAATGAAAAAATATATATATATATTATATATATATATATATATATATATATATATATATATATATATATATATATATATATATATATATAATATATATATATTTTTTTTCATTCATTTTCTTTTGCGCTCATATATATATATATATATATATATATATATATATATTTTTTTTATATAATATTATTTTAATTTAATACTTCAGAAAAGAAAATGGTTTGGTGCTTGTTCACAATACCGCGTACCTCTCACTAAAATGTGACTGCACATTAAAACGAAGCGTAGCGCAAGCTTTGTGATTGGTCAGTTTGGTATCGGTGACGAGGGTGGGTGGCGAAGAAAGCCGTGTTTTAGGCAATGTGTGTTTTTATTTCAGTTGTTCATCGTTGATGTTTAATAATCATAGATAATAGACTGTGTGCTTACTTCGGTGTGCGTTTACTTCAATTATTTTAAAATAATGCACCCTACATTGAAAAATAGCGTATTTAAAAATAAAAAAAACTTTTAGAAAAAGCACATTTACTGTACAAAACTTGTAAGCGAACTATGAGAGCGAAAACACAAAAGTAAATAAAATAATCGTTCATTAATTGTAATCGAGTTAAAATGTTCAATTAATCGATATTTAGATTTTAGGCCTAATTGCCCAGAGTGTGTGTGTGAATGTGAGTGTGTATGGGTGTATCCCAGTACTGGGGTTGTGGATGGAAGGGCATCCACTGCGTAAAACATATGCTCGAATAGTTACTGGTTCATTCCGCTGTGGTGACCCGTAATAAATAAAAATCTAAGCCGAAGAAAAATTAATGAATGAATTTACAATGTTAAAAAACCAACCAATAACAAACAATTTCTGAATGCTGCTATTTAAAAGCACCAGTAAATCAAATATTATGATGATCACACAGCAACAGATGAGTTTTGTTAGAAAGAGGAGTTGTTTAAGGGCTAACATTAGCCACTTTTGTTCATATGTTTATGTCGGAATAAATAACTGATGAACTATTATGAATAAACAACGATTCACTCATGAAAAACCTTTAACGTTATGACGTTACACTGAAATATCCGAAATGATTACTTCGACTTATGAAAGGTAGATTATATTTTAATAAGTAATGTATCGTTGTTTTTCAACCCTACATATAAGCACATGGAGTTTAGACTCACGTCGTGTTTGCAATCTGTATGTTTAAGCAGTAATGTGTATGAATGACTAATCTAATGTGTTGTGCAGCAGCTAAAGCAGCACTGACAGCTAACAGCCTCTCAGCTGTAAAAAGTCCGTCATTAATTCACTCACCTGCATGTCGTCTTTCCCACACCTCCTTTACCGCCGACAAATATCCATTTAAGTGATTTCTGCTCTATTATATTCTTTAAGGTCGGCTCTAAAGGCTCTACATCAGGGGCATCCTCAAACTCGTCTTCCACTGAAGCTGCCATCTTGCGCTCAAGTCAGTCGGAATACACCAATGCAGTATCTGCACACTCCGCCATTTTGGCTCAGCCAAGGAAGCGAGAACGCTAGTTATAGAGGAAGATTAGATTCAAGATGTCCTTTGTAGGGTGAACAGTTACGAACGGAAGTGGGATGATTACTTTGATGACTCAGCCGGACTGTACCAATCACTTTCACTGAACAAGAATATTCCAGAAGTGATTTTCTTGTTGTTTTTATTTATGTGAAATAGTTCTAATAAGTAAATACTTATAACATCATATTTTGGAGAAATGTGACTAGATTTTTTTCTGGTATTTTTGTGTATTTGCAAGACAAAATCACACAGAAGTCGTAGATATGGAAGAATTTGGCAACCTTTATTGTCCTACAATCCTATTGTGCCGTTATTGCACACAAACAAAACAGACTCATTTTTAATAGCATATCTGATCATTTTAGTTGGCAAACTTACAATTATATGGCATCAACAACAAACAACTATTTTTTTCTTCAGAAAAAATAATAAGATTTTATTGTGAAACAAAATATATTGTTGTGATGATTGTACGTCACAGATTTATTACATTTATTTTGTGCTAGAGCTACATTTCAATTCGGAGTCATTAATAGAATGATGGGCAAGAGAATGAACTCAACCAATATGATATCTAAGAGCAGTTTGCAGGTTGATTTCAAGATCTTCAGCTGTTCTTGGAATTCAATCACATTTTTAGTCACAACGATTCACTACAAATATACAGAGGGAAGCTTGAGCAGATTGAAATATGTTGCGAATATAGTCTTAGTCTAAAGATGGGGCTTTAAACAGTTCCGTAACGTAAATCCAGCACGATAATGGAGCAAACAAAACAACAAAGGTGAAAAATCTTCCTTTTTGCAAACTGTGATTGGTATAAGATCAAATCTTCAGCTAACATACAGTCAAAGACAGTACGAACAGTATCAAAACTGACTAAGCATATACTCCTTTTTCATTTCATTATGTCCAAGTCAAGAAAAATTAAAAGATTTCCACTAATCAGGAAAAAACCAAGGAATAACGTTAAAGCTTCCACTGTAAATGTCGACTTTCAGTCGGCAACATTTAAAAGGTGCACAAAAGTTTGGTGATTGTATCATTATCTCTTTAAATATAATGAAAACTTTCCCCACAGCTCTATCCAAACATACAAGGCAAATTCAAGGCAAAGCTAAAATTGGACGAACAGGATCCAACACGTAACACACGAAAACAGGGAAAAGATGATCCAAAACCAGTGTAAAAAGGCAACATACATCCCAGAACCAGGAAAAAACAGCAGCTTACGAGGCAAAACTCAGAGTCTACCACTAAACAACCTCATCACCGACCCCATTACGGTTAAACGACATATCACAACACTTAACAACTCATTGTTAAGCTATTTAGATGTTGACGCAGCCATCTGTAGTGGACAAAATTATAAGAAAACATAAAACTACCTCCTCAAACGCCGGTTAGTGCATCACGAGCTGGCAAACATGGCACACGCTCTCGAGTAAACTGGGTTTTACTGATGTAATGAAGGTTTTCAGTATTCTGTGCCATTAAAATCACGCTCGCATCAAACCCAGACTCAGTCTCATTGGTGGAAGGGCAGATTCATATTCAATCAGAGGGGGAACAAGCCTCTACATATTGCACATTGGATTCATTTGGTAGGAATGAGAAGGAAAAAAAGTAAATAAGTAGTTTAAATGGCTCCCAATTCGCATATTTAAAGGAACATTTCACCCTAAATTGAACATTTTCGCACTATTTACTCAATTTTAGGTGGTTTTATACCTTAATGAGATCCTTTATTCTGTGAAATACAAGCTGAAGCCATTATCCCAACACAAATTGATTTAGTTAACTTAATTGTTTTTACAAATGTAATTAAATTGAACATTAAACAATTGATTTGTGCCCCAAAAAGCACAAGAATTGTGTTGATTCAACTCATTTTCAATTGAACAAGCAGCAAAAAACATTTTTGAGCCTACATTTGAGTTCAAGAAACAGTTTAAAACAAGTAAAATGTGATTAAATGATGACAGAAGTTTCATTTTTGGGTGAACTACCCCTTTAAATTGTCTCTATCTTCATTTCATCAATGCTGATGGTTTTTCCACCATGCTGAACTTCATGTTTACATCAATTACATATATAGTATGTGTTCGATGAGCACTTTGACATGCAAATGAGAGGTTTTTAACACCTTTCGGGAGCTTTCTAATACTGTTTTTTTATAGTCTCTGAAAACACACACACATATATTCACACCACCTTCATTTGCTCAATCTACTGTCCCGGTATTTGGCAGACTCGTGTTGGCATGTCCCTCGGATTGTCGCAGGCACTCTTAGTTGGTCTCGTAGGAAGACAGCAGCGCAGCATCCACCGGCTCCATACAGGAGGGGCAAGTGAAGGAGCGCATGAGCCAGGCATCGATGCAGTCCACGTGATAGATGTGCATGCAGGGCAGGAACCGGATCGGGTCGCCATACTCAAAGTCCATCATGCAGATCACACACCTGAGGGCAGACGTCAAACCCAAAATAAGCTTACAAACGAACAAAGTGCCCCAGTTCTGCTATTTACTTCTACAACAGCAACACAAAGGAGGGCTATTATCGTTATTCTCACGTACTCTTTGACCTTCTTGTCGGAGGGCTCTGATCCCGGGTCAAAGATGCCCCGGGGAAGGTGTTGGATGAGGCCGATGCGCTGTGCGATGCGGACCTGCTCCTCCTCTGTCAGCTGCGTGGCCAGGCGGGTCTGACTGGGTGTGGGGTGGTACACCGGCACCTGCGCCCGCTCCTGAGGTCACCACAGTGTTTGATCATTCATCATTATTAAAGATCACATGCGGTTAGACTGCATTCAACAATTATTGTAAGAAACAGGCAGAATGGATCAAGTACATGGGGAGAGAGAGAGTTTAGAGTTTATTGCCATATCAGATTCTCTGGCACTGTCATAGCAAAAAACAAAAAACAAAAAAAAAAAACTCCATTTTATAAATATCACTTTTATATAATGCTAAAAATATTTTAACAATAAAAAGTAATCAACAGCAATAAATAATACGCAAGATAAAATACATTAATAATAATATATATATTGTTTGCTTTCATAGATATTTATATATTTACATTTCATAATTATACTTCAGTCACTCACTTCTGTGTATATATGTGTATTTATGTGTATGTCGTGTGTGATGTGTATGTTGTGTGTATGAGTTCACTGTAGACGGCAAAGTGAGAATTTCATTGTACAGGGAAACGTGTTACCTTACTGTGCACATGAAAATAAACAATTGAATTAAATAATAATAATAATAATAATAATAATATTAATAATAATACTAATAATAGTAATAATAATAATAAAAAGATAAAAATCTAAAACAGTGTTGTAAGGTATAATTTTGATAAAAAAATTATTTTGGAAGGATTTACATTTAAAAACATTTCATTTAAAGTCTCTCTAGATAAAAAAACGCTGTCTGATAACGAAAAAAAAATGGGGTAATCCACAAGTACAGTCGAAGTCAGAATTATTTGCCCCCTGAATTATTAACCTCGTTTATTTTTTTCCCTCAATTTCTGTTTAATGAGGAGATTTTTTTTTCAGCACTTTTCTAAACATAATAGTTTTAATAACTAATTTCTAATAACTGATTTATTTTATCTTTGCCATGATGACAGAAAATAATATTTTACCAGATGTTTTTCAAGACACTTCTATACAGCTTAAAGTGACATTTAAAGGCTTAACTAGGTTAATTAGCATAACTAGGCAGGTTAGGGTAATTAGATTAGCTATGTTTAAGGATGGTTTGTTCTGTAGACAATTAAAAAAATGTAGCTTGAAGGGGCTAATAATATTGACTTTAAAATGGTGATTAAAAAATTAAAAGCTGCTTTTATTCTAGCCACAATAAAACAAATAAGACTTTCTCCAGAAGAAAAAATAGTATCGGACTTCCTGTGAACATTTCCAGAGCCCCCAGAGGTACCGGAGCACCAGCGACCTTCTTGCTGTGAGGCGATCATGCTACCCACTGTGCTACTGTGACACCCAATGTTCAATTTCCAACATTCTAATTCAATTTTATCTCACGAGAAACAATAATAATAATAAAAACCTAGTTTGTTTACTCTGTATAATTATACTCTGTACTAATTATTACTCACTTTACTGTTTACTCTGTATTGAGTGTAACTAAACACAATGGAATTGTAGTGTAAAACAGTCATGAGGCACATTATCAGATAAGCAAGGTTGTGTGTATTATGTTATGAATGTTATGCATGCCACGCTAAGTATGTACTGTATGTAGTGTTTCTATTTCTGCGAAGAAATGTGTCTGAATATACAGAATAATTTCCCTAAAATCTTAATGACTGGTTTAACTTCTTAAAATGTTCAAATTAGAAGCTTAAATTGGCATTAATATGCTAAAATTGACCAGTAGCAAATCCAAAACAACAGTGTGGCAAATTTTTCACAGTCAGAGATCACAATCGGCGCAACAAACTAAAGATAATATCTGTGAAACTATTCTCGAACAGCAAACTTTCCTGTTCTGGCAGATCACGTGGATAGTCTTTGCAACTTGCTATAACATATACCAAAACATATGCTAACTTGCTATAACATAGACTATTTTGAGGGATGTAAACAATTAATGTAAACTTTACATTTTTCATATCCATTGCTTCCAAAAATCCACATATTGTGAAATATTGTTATGATAGCTGATATAACTATGTGCTTGGAATAGACGTCAACAGAACCCACAAGCAAAAAGCATCCGGTGTGAACGGGCATTAACTGCAATTCACTTTACTGTGGCATTTCAAAATCTCTAATTTCTCGCCTTCAGTTGGTCCAAAATGCTGCTGCAAGATTTCTTTGTAATAATAGGAAACATGTCCACATTACTACTCTTCTAAGGGGCCTTCATTGGCTGTCCGTGCAATTCAAAATTGATTTTAAAGTGCTTTTACTGGTATTGAAATCCCTTCACAATCTAGCCTCAATCTCTCAGAGCTGCGGCATCTTTACACTCCCGTAAGATCTCTTAGATCAAGTGATCAAAATCTTCTTTTAGTTCCTCAGTCCAGAGACGTAGAGGGGACAGAGCTTTTTCTGTGGCGGTTCCTCGGTTATGGAACGAATGACTCCATCACTATCGATATTTAAAACACTCCTAAAAAAAACCTATTTAGTGTTATTTCTAAAATCTTTACTATTATCAACACAATACAGTCCCTACTCAACACATGTACTTAGGGCGTTTAGGGAGGAGGAACTGAATTCAACCACTTTGAATTTACCTGAATCTGAATTTAACGATTTTTTAATAATGATATTAAAAAATATCAGGATCTTTTTCTTGCACGAATACATTCATCATCAATAACTGCTAGGCATATACTCTCATTCAATTCAAAGTCATGCATGGAGTACACTGGTCTAGAAGTAAACTGAATAAAAATTTCTCTGATCTTGTCCCAACATGCCTTTGCTTTACAACCAACCCAGCCACACGGTTACTTTCCAGTCTTGATTAAAACTGTCTGCCTTTTTGAGGGAAAGTCTTTAGGTGTTTTTCTGCTGTATTTTCAATGTCAATAGACCCAAACCCCATAACAGCACTGTTTGGGATCCTGCCAGAATATGTTGAATTAAATTAATTACAGGCTGATTGTGTAGCCTTTGCAACTTTACTGGCTAGACGACTTATTCTTATGAATTAGAAGTCAGCAGCTCCCCCTTCTTATCGGCAATGGGTTTTGATTTCTGACATGCTCTTCAAGTGGAAACGATTCGGTTCGCAATAAAACAAAAGCCAGAACAGTTTCAAAAACATTTCAGGAGACACCTATATCTTAAGTGCCCTTTTTTCCCTTTATTTTCTTTGTATAACATATAAATTAATGTATTAATTTATTTATTATTCTTATTTTTATGTTATTGTATGTTTGTATATCTTTAAGTATATATGGGGTATACTTTTATTTATATTCTTATTTAGTGTATAATATTTTTCTGATAATTTTTAGTTTGGTGAATTGTATCAGTGCGTATATCTATGTGTGTCAATATTGTGTATATTTTATTATCTGACCTAAGATGAAACTAATAAAAAAATAATAATAAATAAATAAAAAAATAAAAAAGTACCAATTTAGCTTGGCTTTTTAATACTATTTTAATAGTCTTTTCCACTGGTTCATTTTTAAAAGTATTCAGTCATTTCTCTTGGTTTATTTTTATGTTTTTATATTCTGTATTTTTTATTTTACTTTGACCTATGTGCAGCACTTCGGTCAGACTTGTGACTGTTTTTAAATGTGATTTATACAGAGTTTCTGCAGGTTTCACGAAGTCAAATTTAAGACTTTTGAAGACCATTATAAATGTAACTTCAGATTTATACAGGGCTAAACACTAAGGAATTTTCTTCCGGTTGGTCATGTGGAAAAAAAGGTTTACTTGCTTCATCCACCAAAAATCTAAGAAGTTATTTTTTTTGCCACATATTTAAAATGATGTATCAAAACAAGCAAACCCTAGTTGTATACATGCACATGTTAACATTCCCACAATAACAAAACAAAAAAAAAACATATTAGTATAATACAGAGTTTGGTTGAAGGTTTTTTTAAGATGAATAATTATTGGTGGTTGAAGACACGGACAGATGAAAATAAAGAATTGTTTAAAAGGATTAAAGACCTTCAAGACAATATTTCAGTGAATTAAAAACTTTTTAAGGCCTAAACTTTAGTTTTTAAAACTTAATACATTTTAAAACCCCGCAGAAACCCTGTTTATAAATACATTAACTTGAACTTGACTAGAAGTCCACCACCACATTGAAGTGGTCAAAACATTCTGAGCCTGTCAGTATTGTATCGCAGACAGCTGGATGTTTGTTTGTGTGTGTGGGACAGTACAGTTATATTGTATTTTTTGTTTGTTGTTTTAAGTTACCTGGTATGGTGGCGGAGGCTCTCCGGGCAGACTCGCCCCCTCGGACTCGTTGAGCAGGGACAGATCATCAGCGCCTTGAGAAGACAGACAGTTCCCCATTGAGCTGACCCTGCACGACAACACAAACCCTCCAAAATCACGTCTATGTGGCTTTTACGAACTCGCCAGGCTCCTCTTGTGTTCAGGGAGCTCGCTTTCCGCAGCCCGCTGTGTCTGCTGTCTGTCTAACGTTAGTCTGAAAAAACAAACAACCGCCTCAACAGCCAGCGCTCCGATTTTCACTCACCAAATATACGTTTTAAAAAGCCGTAGTGTTTGTAAACGCGTACATCCCGCTTGGTTTAATCCTCACGACTGTAAACGACACGCACGTCATGTAAAACGCATCTACAGTGGACTGTACAGAGCAATATTTTTAGGTAAGACCTCTTGACGACTCCATATCTGCTTTCATTGTTTACAAACTCTTGGACCGGAAGTGAGTCGATCTGCGGATTGTGGGTAATGTAGTCATTCGTAGGGTGACTTTTTATGTCTAGCACGAGCGATAAATATGAAAATCATCATAATTCATATGTTTGTAATGAAGCTTTAAAGAAGGATGTGGACATTGAAAGTTGTTAGATACATTCTAGATTATTACTAAAACCATATATATATATATATATATATATATATATATATATATATATATATATATATATATATATATATATATATATATATATATATATATATGAATATGTTTAAATATAGAGATGATAACAAAACATCTATCCAGTAAGTTGGTTAAATACAATAAATAAATAAAATTTTATTCATGTATGTTAGCTTTACAGTAAAGTTTCATTAGTTTATGTGGTTAATGTATTATATTGGCTACGCAGTGGCGCAGTAGGTAGAGCTGTCGCCTCAAAGGAAGAAGGTCACTGGTTCGAGTCTTGGTTGAGTCTGTTGGTGTTTCTGTGTGGAGTTTGCATGTTCTCCCCGCATTCAAGTGGGTTTCCTCCGGGTGCTCCGGTTTCCCCCACAGTCCAAAGACATGCGTTACAGGTGAATTGGCTAGGCTAAATAGTCCATAGTGTGTGAGTGTGATTGAGTGTGTGTGTGAAGTTTCTGAGAGATGGGTCGCAGCTGGAAGGGCATCCGCTGCGTAGAAAAAACATGTGCTGAATAAGATGGTGGTTCATTCCGCTGTGGCGACCCCGGAGTAATAAAAGGGACTAAGCCAAAAAGAAAATAAATGAATGAATGTATTAAATTACTTAATGAAAAATACTTCAGCATTTATTAATAATTATGTACAAACACATGCTTGTTACCTTTGGTAATGCACTGTGAGTTAACTTGAAGTAACAATGAGCAACTTCATTTCATTAGCAAAGATAAATAAATACTGTAATAAATGTATTGTTCATTATTTATTCATGTTCGTAGCCACATTTGCTAACATTAACTAATGCAACCTTATCGAAGTGTTACAAATTATGCTTAATTAAAATGTTTTGTGTCTAAGGCAAGTGTTCAAACCATTGATTTATATAGAATGACAATGATGTTATTTAGCCCTATTATACACTGACCGGCCACTTTATTAGGTACACCTGTCCAGATGCTCATTAACGCAAATTTTATGACAATTCGCACAGGCTCACCAAAATTTGATAAAAGAAGACTGGAAAAACATTGCCTGGTCTGATGAGTCTCGATTTCTGCTGTGACATTCAGATGGTCGGGTCAGAATTTGGCATCAACAGCGTGAAAGTATGAATCCATCCTGCTTTGTATCAACAGATCAGACTGCTGGTGGTGGTGTAATGGTGTGGGGGATATTTTCTTGCCACACTTTGGGCCCATTAGTCCCAATTGAGCATCGTGTCAACTCCACAGACTGGTTTCTTGAACATGTAAATGAGTTCACTGTACTCAAATAGCCTCCACAGTCACCAGCATTCAATCCAATAGAGCACTTTTGGGATGTGGTGGAACCGGAGATTCACATCATGGATGTGCAGCTCTGAGAAATATTTCCAGTACCTTGTTAAATCTATGCCAGGTAGGGATTAAGGCGGTCCTGAAGGCAAAAGGGGGTCCAACCCGGTACTAGGAAGGTGTACTTAATAAAGTGGCCGGTGAGTGTAGCTCAGCGCTTCAAACCGTAATTCCCCTCATTTCCGAGTGATGTCAGTACGTCAAAACTCCGCCTCTCCGCACCACCACCGAAGAAATGACGCAGACAGGCGTGTTTTTAGCCTGTTAGCCAGAGAGCTACATCTTTTAACGTCCATTAACTGTCCTTGGCTTTCAAACTCAAACATTTCCTCGGGACATAAACCTGTACGAAGGTCCAGAATCGAGAAGTAAGGAGAAGACGAAGACACAGCAGTCATGCAGATCACACTGAAGACATTGCAGCAGCAGACCATTCAAATAGACATCGACGATGAGCAGACGGTATTAACGGTTTATTTACGCTTGTTATAATGCGTTAACGACATGGATAAGTGTTCGAAGCACATACATATCAACGATAGCTGTACATTTCGAGCTAAGAAAGATGACAAGGAGCGTTAATTCATTTATGAGTCACTGGGGATCATTTGGGCGTGTTAAGCATTAACGATAGATAGATAGATAGATAACGTTAGATAGATAGATAGATAGATAGATAGATAGATAGATAGATAGATAGATAGATAGATAGATAGGTATTATATTGGTATATATTAGATATTAATAAGTAACAGTTAGATAGATAGAAAATGAAGGTCTGTATAGTGTAGTATGACGATTAATGCAACTCGCGATAGTTTGTCGTTAGGTTTGTGTATAGTATCGATTATATGTAACATACTGTGCGTGTATAATTGTTATCTAAGTAAATATTCCAAGCCACATAAATCTTAATAACTATACAATAACTTAATAAAAAGTATAAAGTTATGTATAGTCAAATAAGTGATGTTTAATTTTTAGAGGACTGGAAGATGCATGTCTTCATTATTCTTAAGCAGGTTTCTATTTACTGGTAAAAACGAGATATAATTTAGACTTAAATAATCTAAATTTGAGAGATGAATTGGTCAAAACTTATTGCCAGATTCATGTATGGAAAATATTGTAACATTCAAACAGTGGTACAAGAAATGGAGCCTATCCCTCCATTTCCAACCTGAAAGCTACTAAATAAATAGATGATAACATGTATAATTGTTACGGAAGTCAATATTCCAAGCCACATAAATCTTAATATTGTGATAGCACAATAAAAAGTATATAGTTATGTCTGATCAAATAAGTGATGTAGTTTTTTAAAGAAGACTGGAAGCTACATGCCTTCATAGTTATAAAAGTTTAATTTTACTAGTAAAATAGTCCAAAAACAAGAAATAAAGTCAAAATTACAGCGATGGAGTCGTCAAAATGTACTGCCAGATTCATATATGGAAAATATTGTACATTCTTTAAACAGTTGTACAAGAAATGGAGCCTATCCCTCCATTTCCAACCCAAAAATTACTAAATAAATGGATTATAACATGTAATTGTTACCGAAGTAAATATATCAAGCCAGATAAATCCTAACAACAATTACAATAACATAATAAAAAAAAGTATTAAGTTACATTAAATCAATTAAGTAATATTCAATTTTGAAAGAGGACTGAAAGATACATCACGTCATAGTTATTAAACAGGTTTCTATTTACTGGTTAAAAAGAGATGTAAATTAGACATAAAATCCGAATCTGAGAGATGGAGTCGTCCTAACGTACCGCCAGATTCATATATGGAAACATGCACACACATGTATAATTGTTATCAAAGTCAATATTCCCAGCCACATAAATCTAAATAACTATCACAATAACATAATTAAAAAGTATATAGTTATGTATAGTCAAATAAGTGATGATTATTTTTTTAAAGAGGCCTGGAAGCTACATGCCTTCACAGTTATGAAGCAGGTTTCTTTTTACTGGTAAAATAATCAAAAAATGAGATATTAAGTTAAAATTAGAGCGATGTAGTTGTCATAATGTACTGCCAGATTCATATAAGGAAAATATTGTAATATCTTCAAATAGTGGTACATGAAATGGAGCCTATCTCTGCATTTCCAGCCTGAAAGTTACTAAATAAATGTATTTAAAACATGTATAATTGTTACCAAAGTCAATTTTCTAAGCCAGTGGTTCTCAAACTGTGGTACACGGGCTTACTTCTAGTGGTACGCAGAGGAATCAAAAATGTCATATGTACATACATATATTTAAAAATGTCTCAAAAATGATTATATATGATGAAATGTAGCCTATATTTCCAGGTGTTGATACTTTACATTTAAGTACAGGAGTTTTTTTTAACTTTAAGAACAGTAACCTGTCATTTTTAACTTTTAAAAGCACATTTTAATTTTAATGTTGACATTTTTTTACGTATAAGCACAGTACAGGGTTAATGTTCAAACTATTTATAATGTTTAAAGTGTCTGACGATAATACGCTTAATAATACAAATTAATTGCCTCATTTTTAAACTGTACAGAGCTGTAGCTGTTACACTGGGGCCCACTATGCTACAGTATTTCAATACTGCTTATTTTGGTGGTACTTGGAGAGACCATTTTTTTCTGAGGTGGTACTTGATGAAAATTTTTAAGAACCACTGTTCTAAGCCACATAAATCTTAATAACTATTCATTCATTCAATCTTTTTCTTTTCGTCTTATGCCGAGTTCAGACTGCATGATTTTCAAAGTAGTCGTGTCACAGATGTTTTCACACTGCATGACTATCTGGGCTAGCGTTTCGTCGCTGCTTTGTTTACACTGCAAGATGGATCGGCAACAGGGACTTTCACATTGCATGACTTTACTATAGAAAGAATCGCCGACAACTTCGTCCAAACTACGTCTCACAGCCAAAAACACGTAGTATATCTTTTGTTATTAACTACATAATGAGAAAGAAGCCTTTAATGGGGTAGAACATGTACATATTTGCTCACCTGGGTTTAAAGGGAATTAGCCATTTCTCCTAAACGTTGATAAACAAATTTCTTTCTGTATGAAACGTCAAACAGACACAGTTGCTCCTGAGTCCTGTCAACCCTCCTCTAGTTTTTCCTCCATTTCGTGGGTCCAAATAAACCAAAAAAGAGCGCTTTTAACTTCTCCCCAGCCTCCCGCTGGGCTGCAGCAGGTATACACACACGCACACACAAGTGAAAGCTGCTCTCTCATTGGCTGTAGGTGATGGCTGATGTTATTTTCAGTCAAAACTCAATTCACACGGCATGATTTGAATCGCCGACAGCTCCAGATATTTAGCACGCCAAACATCTCACAGGCATCGGCGACTCATCGGCGATTCTCTCAGATTGCGTCTTTAAAAGTTCATACTGTGTGATTGTCACTCACGTGCACGAGCAGCGATTTGCCTGTGATTTCAGGCATTTGTCGGCGATTTCTCAAAACCTGTCGGCGAGCCAAAATCGGGGCTAAAATCACGCAGTCTGAACTAGGCAGTAGTCCCTTTTTTAATCTGGGGTCGCCACAGCGGAATGAACCGCCAACTTATCCAGCACATGTTTTACGCAGCGGATGCCCTTTCAGGTGCAACCCATCTCTGGGTATTAATAACTATTATAATAACATAATTTAAAAGTATATAGTTAAGTATAATCAAATAAGTCACATAAAATTTTTAAAGAGGACTGGAAGCTGCATGTCTTCATAATTATTAAGCAGGTTTGTATTTACTGAAAAAATAGTTAAAAAACGAGGTGTAATTTAGACGTAAAAGTTCAAATTTGAGAGATGGAGTCGTCAAAACATATTGCAAGCTTCATATATGGAAGATATTACATTCTTCAAACAGTGGTACAAGAAATGGAGCCTATCCCTCCATTTCCAACCTGGAAATGACTAAATAAATGGACAATAACATACAGTCCATGTATAACTGTTAGAAGAGGCAATATTCCAAGCCACATGAATCTTAATACTATTATAATAACACAATTAAAACATATATAGTTATGTATAATCAAATACGTTATATTTAGCGGACTGGAAGATACAAATCTTAGGTATAAAGTAGGTTTTCTTTTACTGGTAAAATAGTCCACAAACGAGATATAAATATCAAATAAGCCTCTTCTGAAGTCAACGAGAAGTCAAGTTATTATTTGTTGTTCTTAAAACTTGGATAGGCGACAAGCTTTTTGTCAGGGAGTGTACATCATTACTGTTTTTCTTCACCCTGCTGCCTTCCAGTATTGCATTATTTTCCTTTTCTAATGTCCATGTGTGTGTTTTTAATGCTCATGTTTCTGACACAGGTGAAGGCGTTGAAGGAGAAGATCGAGGCTGAGAAGGGCCGGGACAGTTTTCCGGTAGCGGGACAGAAGCTCATCTATGCTGGGAAGATCCTGCAGGACGATACGCCCATCAAAGAGTACAAAATCGATGAGAAGAACTTTGTGGTGGTGATGGTGTCAAAGGTCAGAGACTTTTAACGGCGGTCAAAATCATTCGCCCTCCATTAAATGTTTTTTTTTTCTTTATCAAATATTTGTCAAATGATGTTTAACAGAGCAAGGAATTTTCACAGTATTTCCTATCATATATTTCTTCAGGAAAAAGTCTTATTTGTTTTATTTCGGCTGGAATAAATGCAGTTTTTAATTTGTTAAAAACCATTTAAAGGTCAATATTATTAGCCTTCTTAAGAGATTTTTTTTTCAGATAGTCAACAGAACAAACCATTGTTTTACAATAACTTGCCTAATTACCCTAATCTGCCTAGTTAACCTAATTAACCTAGTTAAGCCTTTAAATGTCACTTTAAGCTGTATATAAGTGTCTTGAAAAATATCTAGTCAAATATTATTTACTGTCATCATGGCAAAGATAAAATAAATCAGTGTTTATAAATGAGTTATTAAAACTTTTATGTTTACAAAAGTGTTGAGAAAAATCTCTCCGTTAAGCAGAAATTGGGGCTAATCATTTAGGAGGGCTAATAATTCTGACTGCAACTGTGTTACTGACGTTCATGCTGAATCTCAGGGTGCTTTCACACCTACACTTTTGTTTCGGAACGTATCTCGTTTGTCCAGTTAGCGCGGTTCGATTGGCATATGTGAACAGGGCAATCACGCTCTGTTCCGCGCCAAAGTAATCGCTCCGAGATCTCTTAAATGAGGTGGTCTCGGCTCGATTGAAACCAACCCTGGAGCGGTTCGATTGCAGTGAGAAAGCGATCCGATCCGAGCGCGGTTATATCACAGTGTTTTATGGATATGTAATAGGTTTATGGCTATATGAAGAGAGAATTCTGAGTAGGGCGGGAAGATTCGCGAGTCTCCGGATGCCCGCAAACGAGAGATGATCTCCCGGTAATCTTGCGTCTCCCTCCCGGTCCTCAAATAGGCATCGTCGCGCACCCTTCTCACCCCTCCCCATCGCGTCTCTCCTCAGACACGTCGCGCGCGCACCCTGTCAATGACCACCAAACCACCACCTCTCCTGACAGCTGAGCGGGACGCTGCAAAATAAACCCTGACACTGACCAATGTAAGGACAGTTTACTCGCACGTGACTTGTTTTAGCTCTTTTGGTCCGTTTAGAAACTTTGCAGTGTGAAAGCGAACCGCTCCAAGAGCAAAGAGCAACAATGTAACATTTGTAATCTCTGTATCGGAACAACTGAATTGATTCACAGGTGTGAAAGCACCCTCAGTCTGCTCCCTTGCTTACTAGTTATGGCACTGCTCAGAGAGTCGGCCATTTTAAGGGCCATCTCAATCGCTAAATGCTTCCAGTGCACTGAAACATTTACATCCCTGAAAATCCAATAATGCACTGGGAGAAAAAAAAATCAATGCTCATTAACTTCACTTAACGGAAGTTCTGAAGCACAAAATATGCATCATGTGAACCAAACATGACATGTTTTTTATTCTATTTATATTTATCCATAAAGGAACACACAAGATAGCACACATTTATAAACGATTAATGCCCGAAATGTTAGGAAGCGATCACATTATTTACAGGGTTTTCAAAATTTGGCTTTTCTCTAACTCGCTTCCAGGTTTTTGCATACAAATTGATGTCATAGTTCCTCCACCCTATAGCAATGTGCGCTACACTGTCAGAAAAACGGGTACGGTTGGGGTCCATTTGGGAACACTTGGGGTACAAATGGTGAAGTTGTACCCTCAATGGTTCAAAGTAGCACCCTAAGAAACTTATATGTACCATTTAAGGGTAAAAAAGGTACAAATATGTTCCCAGCTGTCCATGTTTGATGGCTCAAAGAAAGGTACAATCACTTGTGTGAAAAAAGAAGCAAGTCAACATGTATGAAATTGTCATTTATGTCATGAGTTGTTGGTTATTTGGAAGAAATGCACAAAAAAACTGTACATTAACAATAAAATGATTTATTATATAAAGCATGGTATTATCATTAATATTATAAATTATTATTTTTGATTTAAGAAAATGTTAACATGAATCCTCCTAAATGTGAAGGTGGTATCTCGATCTTTGTTTCTTGAAACAAACACATTTTGCAGTATTCCTCTTCTCTTATCAAGTAAAATATTCGTTCATTTTCTTTTTGGCTTACTCCATTTATTAATCTGGGGTCGCCACAGCGGAATGAACCACCAACTTATCCAGCATATGTTTTATGCCCTTCCAGCTGCAACCCATTACTGGAAAACACCCATACACACTCATTCACTACGGCCAATTTAGCTTACCCGATTCACCTATAGCGCATGCCTTTGGACTGTGGGGGAAACCAGAGCACCTGGAGGAAACCCACGTGATCAAGGGGAGAACATGCAAATTTCACACAGAAATGCCAACTGACCCAGCCGAGGCTCAAACCAGCGACCTTCTTGCTGTGAGGCAGACATGCTAGCCACTGTGACGTCAAAGTAAAACATTACCTAAATAAAAAGGCAAAGATTAAAAGTAATTTAGTTACATGAACATTAATTTACCATCACTTGGGTTTTATCATTACCTGTGACTTCCTACCAGTGGCTGAATTTAAGTACACGACCTGCTGATTCACTAGCTAGGGAGCTGCATTGAGCTTGAGACGCATCCCCAGACTTGAAAATGAAACGATTCCACTAAGCGTTTGTTTTTCTTTCATGCAGACGAAATCACCAGGAACTTCCGCCGCACCCTCAGAACCATCCAGATCAGTGGCAGCTTCGTCATCCTCCTCTTCCTCCTCTCCTCCACCTCCTCCTCCTCCAGCTCCAGCTCCAGCTGCCATCCCATTCACAGATGAGTGTTCACGAGACGACCCTCCGGCTACGGTCTCTCCTGCACGCAGTCCTGACGGGTTAGACACAAGACAAATAATTTAACTAGACATTTTTCTGTGTGGAAGTGAGATGATAGCCCCTTTCTCACATACGGAATTTTCTGAAACGGGTCAGCATGAAGATTTTAAACGTTTAAAATATATTTAAATCAGTCGAGTGTTAATAAACATTACCCATATTTTCACATGCTATTTGAAACATTAAAGAGCCCCTATTATGCATAATGAAAGGTCATATTTTGGTTTTGGGGTACCAACAACAACAGGCTGAAATGCATGCAAGGTCAAAAAAACACTTTCATTGTCTTATGATATGCATTTATTTTTACCTCATTATTAGGCTCACACGGAATCTGCACGCGCAGAATTCTGCAGATTTTCCACAGAATTCCGCAGATTTCTGGAGATTTTTAGCCCGTTATTAATTCTATTTATTTACTTGAGTAAATGTGTAAATATAAATGTATTCAGTTTTTATTTAGTAATTTATTACTTTTTATTTAATAAATTAAGGTTTTAGTTATAATTAGGCTCACACGGAATCTGCGCGCGCAGAATTCTGCAGATTTTCCACAGAATTCCGCAGATTTCTGGAGATTTTTAGCCCATTATTAATTCTATTTATTTACTTGAGTAAATGTGTAAATATGAATTTATTCAGTTTTTATTCAGTAATTTATTACTTTTTATTTAATAAATTAAGGTTTTAGTTATGATTAGGCCCACACGGAATCTGCGCGCGCAGAATTCCGCAGATTTTCCGCAGAATTCCGCAGATTTCTAGAGATTTTTAGCCCATTATTAATTCTATTTATTTACTTGAGTAAATGTGTAAATATAAATTTATTCAGTTTTTATTCAGTAATTTATTACTTTTTATTTAATATATTAAGGTTTTTGTTATAATTAGGCCCACACATAATTTGCGCATGCAGAATTCCGCAGATTTTCCGCAGAATTCCACAGATTTTTAGCCCATTATTAATTCTGTTTATTTACTTGAATAAATGTGTAAATATGAATTTATTTAGTTTTTATTCAGTAATTTATCACTTTTTATTTAGTATATTAAGGTTTTTGTTATAATTAGGCCCACACAGAATTTGCGCATGCAGAATTCCGCAGATTTTCCGCAGAATTCCGCAGATTTTTAGCCCGTTATTAATTCTGTTTATTTACTTGAATAAATGTGTAAATATGAATTTATTCAGTTTTTATTTAGTAATTTATTACTTTTTATTTAATAAATTAAGGTTTTAGTTATGATACTCCGCTGGATACTCCCAAAATAATTCCGCAAAAATCCGCAGATTTTTACCAAAATTCTCAGCAGAAATAGCAAAAATCGTCCACAGATTCCATCTGGCCCTGCTCATTATCCCAACAACTCCAATATGATTTGTTCAGCGATTCATTTCTTCTCAAACCCCTCCTTGGTGTGAGGCTAATCTGCTGTGATTGGTGGATGACCCAGTCTGTTGTGATTGGTTTACTGGGTTCAGTGCGTGACAGAGAGAAACACTCAGGGCACAGAGTATGTGAGAGCCTAAAGCAGAGGTGCAATCAAGCAATGTAGTTAAACATCAGCATATACTCTACTCTTAACCCTAACCCCAAGTAATAACAATGGCACACATTCAGTATTAATCCACACAGTGCCAAAAGTCGAACTATTTTAAAAATTGACAGGCAACGCATGTAAGGCACAGCTGATGGAGGTCAAAGCAAAGGCAAACGGCAGAAGATCACGAGTTCAGAAACGCATTTAAATCAGTAAAGGAAGAAGCATGTGGCACATTTGTAACATGGTTTTGGATGCAATATGTGAACAGCCCCATAAAGATTTAACCTGAAGGATACAGTACAAGCACTGATCTATAATAGATACGTGATTACAAGCCACGTGAAGTGATTACAAGTTACAACACACAATTAAATACGTATTTTGCAAACTACAAAAAAAAAACGAGGCAACAGTTTTAATTACATTTACATGTTATGATCTGGAGGAAGAAGAAACTGGTCCATATGAACTTTAATGCAGCGTTCACACCAGATGCGGAACGCGCGTCAAGCGCGAGTGATTTACATGTTAAGTCAATGCAAACGCACGAATAGACATCCTGCGGCGCGATACGCGCGAATGGCGCAGGGCAAATTGAGCATTTTGCACGTTTGACGCAATCAATAATATACATTTTTAATATAAATTGAGTTTGGTAATGACACTAAAATAGTATATATTCTCAACATTAAAACTGAAGTGTGTGTGTGTGTGTGTGTTTGTGCTATGCAAATAGTGCTGTCCTCTTTCTTAACTAAATAAATATCATAAATATGAATGATAATCTAAATTGGTTGTGTGTTTGTTTTGCAGTGGCACAGATGTTGTAGGTGAAGGAGAAGATGCATCTTCAACACTAGGTGAAAAACCACAACTTTATGTTGTCAGGTCACTTTATTTTAAGCTACAATTTTCATTATTAACAAAACTGTTACATTTACCTCAATAAACTTATAGTTTGGTATTAGGTAGGATTGGGAATTCAGAATAAAACCATACAGAATATGTTGTAATAAGTTTTTAGTGACTAATGCTGAGATCAGACTGTATAATTTTAGCCCCAAATTTGACTCACTGAAAAGTTTTGAGAAATCGAAGACAAATGCCTAAAATCACAGGCAAATTCACGTGAGTATCAATCACACAGTGTGAAATATCAAAGATAGATCTGAGAGAATTGCCTATGAGTTGCTGACACCGTAATTGGCATCCTAAGTGAAGTTTATGTATAAACAAATTTCGAGAGGATCACGTGCTTATGATTGCTAGCGCCTGGATCCGCATTATCCAATTCACTACGCTCCAATCAGATGACTCCTAAACTACTATAAATACCCTGGGTTTCATTCCTCTGCTATCTTCGTTTTGAAGAGTCCCCCCTTCCACCCCTACTCCTCCTTCTTAGATGGGTGACACGGTGGCCCAGTGCGTAGCACTGTTGCCTCACAGCAAGAATGTCTCTGGTTCCAGGCTTTACCAAACCAGCAGACATTTCTGTGTGGAGTTTGCACTTCTCCCCGTGCTCACGTGGGTTTCCCCCGTGTTCCCCAGGTTTCCTCCCACCGCCTAAAAACATGCAATTAAGTTAATTAAATAATCTAACTTCAAGAGCAATCACTTACTGTTCATTGGTTACTACAGGAGGGGGTTCTCAAGATCTACCTGAGCTCAAACTCCCCTCACGCCTTGCAATGGGAGGGAGCCCAGGGCTCGAGGATCTCATGAGCTCGGGGCTCTCTCCCGGCACAGCATGCCAAACAAGCTTTTTCATCAGCTAAGTGTGAACTCTTGAAATATCGTTGATTTAAAATTATGCCGTGTGAAATGTGTTCTGACTGAAAATAACATTGGCGTTCAGCTACAGCCAACGAGAGAGCAGCATTCACTAGTATGGGTATCTACAGGCCAGCAGGAGGTTGAGAGAGAAGTTAAGGGCTTCTTCTGGTCTATTTGGACCCAAGAAATGGAGGAAAAACTAGTGTACATTTGGCAGGATCACTTACTTCTATTTGTCGTGTCATCTCAGCAATACCACAATACAAAAAGAAAAAAACGAAAAGAGAAATTGCTGATTCCCTTCAAAAGCCTGGTGAGCAAAAAAAGTAGATTTTCTACCCCACTAAAGGCTTCTTTCTCATTATGTAGTTAATAACACAAGATATACGACATGACCATGTTGTTTCCATGTCAGTTTGCGTATGTTTGGTTGTGAGACGTAGTTCGTGGACCGAGACAACGTTGTCGGCGATTCTTCCTATTGTAAAGTCATGCAGTGTGAAACGCCCTGTCGCTGATTTGTTTTACTGTGTAAACACAGCACCCTCAGAACGCTAGCCCAGATAGTCATGCAGTGTGAAAACATCTGTGACACGACTACTTTGAAAATTATGCAGTCTGAACTCGGCATGAAGTGTAATCAAAAAAAAAAGACAGAACAATGATGAAAATCTTTTTGTGATGGTTAATTTGCGAATGCTCATACTTGTGTGTTGTGCAGTCACAGGTCAGGAGTATGATGCGATGCTCACAAACATCATGTCTATGGGTTATGAGAGAGATAAAGTGGTGGCTGCTCTTAAAGCCAGTTACAACAACCCTCACCGGGCCGTGGAGTATCTGCTCAATGTGAGTCTGCAGTTTATTAAATTGTGCTTGATTTATTGTGAAGCCTCCCTGTTGATCAATGTGTGTTTGCCTCAGGGAATCCCAACAGTCCCGGTGCAGGAAACCAATCCTGCTCCCGCTCAGCTCCCCACAGACACACAGCCCACAGAAGGTGAGGCGCTTGCATTATCTTTTTCATAAAAAAATTCCACCATCCCGTACAAACTTTTAGGATACCGGGTGTCAGATTTGCACAATCCGTATGCACAACGCTTTGGCTTTTTTCCCTTGCTTGAAAGCTTGACAGACCTCCTGCACGTAGCTATGGTTGCTAAGCCACGATTGGTGTGTGACGGTTTTCGGGTGTGGCTTAGCGAAGGGCCAGTTACATCACTCACTTTGCAAAAAAAAAAAAAACCTAAATATTGAGTTACATTTAAGACACAAGTTCAAATAAAGTTTCTAACAAAGCCAGAGTGGAAGATTTTATGTCAGAGTAACACTGCAATGTTTCATTTCTGATTAAATCGTTTTTTTAAATAAATAAAGTGAGTGAACGATTCAATGATCCATTCACAAACACTGCCACTTGGTTAATTTCTGAACGAATCAGCTTGTTAAATGAATCATTTGAATAAATTATTCGGTAAATCGTTCATTAAGACAAGGACTTGATGACAATAATGACGCAGTTCCTGGAGAAACGCAATATTAAATAAGAAAAATGTGGGGGCGTGGCTTGTTGTTTTCTCATGTGAGCTGATTGGATGTAGTAAATTAAGGGGGGTTTCATTCTGAAAATGGTTTGGGGAGAGTTATTACAACCTAATAGACTCCTTCTCCTCGCCTTTTCTGTTTGCTGTCAAAACTGACAGCTGGAGGGGCGTGGCTAACATATTCAACCACGCCCTAATCTGAGAATTTATCTGAAAACAAACAGGACGTGCATTGTCAGATTTCAATTAAAGTTTACAAGGGCAAACTATTTATTTTTATTAATGACATGCACAGAATTGTTCGCCACAAAACTAGCAATGTGAGCTAGCCACATCATATTTCAGGTGTCGTTCAATAGCATCACAGAATGTAGAATGAATGGGGGAAAAAAAGTTAAGAGGTATTGTTGTGTTTGTCAGACCTGTATTTGAAAGCTGGTGTTTTGTTTTGTGTCAGGTGAGAATCCTCTGGAGTTTCTGCGCTCTCAGCCTCAGTTTCAGAGCATGCGGCAGGTCATCCAGCAGAACCCGTCGCTACTGCCGGCGCTGCTGCAACAGCTGGGTCAGGAGAATCCCGAGCTCCTGCAGGTCTGCAAACTCACACACATGCACACACACTAGGCATGGGTCGATAATCAGTTTCCAGGTTTACATCTGTTTGGAAAATGTAGCTAACATTTTCTTTTATACTGTTGCTAACGTACAGTTGAAGTCAGAATTATTAGACCTCCTTAATTATTAGACTGCTTGTTTATTTTTTTACTAAGGGTGTCACGATCCTCCAAATCCTCGATTCGATTACATTTTCGATTCTAAAGGCACGGTTCGATTTGATTTTCGATTATGAATAATTAATTAATTAATGACAGATTAATTATTTGTAGCCTACCGTTTAAACTACCTGACCTGCATGCTCTTTGTTTTACCCATAAACAAATCATACAGTAAATGAATAAAGGCAAGTTACACACATAATTACCACCTGTCAATCACTTTTTCTGCGGAACTCGTGAATAGGCAGTGATCTGTGTCGTTATAATGGTGTCGCTTAAAAAAGACGCACAAACAACAGGAACCAGCCAACAGTATCTGAGTTGTTCGCTAAAATGACTAAGTACAAGTGAGTGAAAGATTGAAGCAGTCCTCTGACTGCCTGGACCTGCTGTCTCGAGCGCATGGCTGTATGAGCGTCTGTGTCTGTGTGGTCACGTGATGTGCATTTTCAGAGGTAGAGAGGAAGGAGGGCTGCTCAGAAATGCTACACGCCACTGTGGATGTCAAATCGTTGTCGTTCTAAAATGCCATTTAAAAACAAAGACAGTGTAAACAGGGCCTGAGTGTGTACTTTTCGCGAGCGGATTTGCAACGGGGGCGGGCGGAGGATCGCGATGCCGGTGTTGTTTATCGGACGAACCGTACGTAATACGTACATAGCAGAGCTTGCAAACTGTGTTTTTTTTGTCGACAACACGAACGTTGTCAACATAACTCACTGGAAATCCCAAAATGCTTACACACCGGCGACTTCATTGAAAGAGGAGAGTGTTTAAGTTCTGTCGACGGGTCTCCTGCTTCTGCAGTTTAACAAGCACTTCAACAAGCCTGTTTTTTTCCCGCTTGGCAAGCCAAGCTGACGTGGGGGCGTGGCAGCATCGACGATTCTATTTTTTGATTCGATAATCGAAATTGAGCATAAATTTCGATCGATTTCGATTAAAAATCGAAATCGTGACACCCCTATTTTTTACCAATTTCTGTTTAACGATGAGAAGATTTTTTCAACACATTTCTAAACTATAGTTTTAATAACTCATTTTATATATGTCATACTGGACTATTTGGAAATAAACAAGCCAAAACAGCCCTAACAGGAAAGCTAAAGGAGTGTAAAATCCCACCTTCAGATCTAAAGCTACTAATAAAAGGCTATATTCTCTACAAATGCCAGACAGAATGGGATCAGTGCCCTGAAAATAAATGTTTTGAAATTCAGCCTGAAATAGGGAAAAAAATCGAATTTATTTTTTTTAAGTCAAGACATGATGAGATTGTTTATAGAAGATGCTGCCGCATTGGACACACAAGACTTACACATGAACATTTACTTAAAGGAGAAGAACCACCAAAATGTTTATATTGCAACAGAAACCAAACTGTTAAACATATTCTTGTGGAATGCCCAAGAATTTTTATCTGGAGAGACATTAAGTGAAATATTTTTAAATGTGAATTCATCTAAAATTGCTATAAAATAGAATTTTTATCAAAAGGAAACCTTAAAAACGTTTATTTTTTTAGCTTTTATATTATCATTATTATTATTTATGTATTTTAACTTGTATGTTATTTATTGCTGTTGATGACTTTTAATTATTAGAACATTTTTATAATTATATAAAATTGGTATTTATAAAATGTGGGAAACTTGATCCTTTTTTGCCATGGCATAGCCATAGAAGCTGAAATGGCAATACAATTAAAACTCTCTCTCTCTTTAATAGCTCATTTCTAATAACTGATTTATTTTATCTTTGCCATGATGACAGTAGATAATATTTGACTAGATATTCTTCAAGACACTTCTTTACAGCTTAAAGTGACATTTAAAGGCTTAACTAGGTTAATTAAGTTAACTAGGCAGGTTAGGGTAATTAGACAAGTTATTGTATAACGATGGTTTGTTCTGTAGACTATAGAAAAAAATATAGCATAAAAAGGCTAATAATTTTGACCTTAAAATGTTTTTTTTTAAATTTAAAACTGCTTTTATTCTAGCCGAAATAAAACAAACAAGACTTTCTCCAGAAGAAAAAATATTATCAGACATACTGTGAAAATTTCCTTGCTCTGTTTAACATAATTTGGGAAATATTTGAAAAAAAAATTCAAAGGGGGCTAATAATTCTTCAATTGAGTCTAATAAGACTTCAACTGTATATGTAGTTTATTTTGACCCATGTCTACATATAAATCAAACATGAAAAACTCTGCAGAGCGGTGAGACATTAGAAGCACTGCTTTTACTGACTGTGTGTGTTTGACTCTCAGCAAATCAGCCAGCACCAGGAGCTCTTCATCCAGATGCTGAACGCGCCAGTGGGCGAGGGTGAGGGTGAGCTGGGAGAAGGGGGAGAGTTTGCAGATCTGGGGGCCATCGGGGACGAGGCTGCACCCGGCAGTTTTATACAAGTCACACAACAGGAGAAAGAAGCCATCGAGAGGGTGAGCAAACAAACACTGCTGGGGCTGAGCTATATGACTAGATATACATTCATCGGTCACTTTATTAGGTACACCTGTCCAACTGCTCATTAACGCAAATGTTTAATCAGCAACTTAATGCATTTAGGCATGTAGACATCTGCTGCAGTTCAAACAGAGCATCAGAATGGGGAAGAAAGGTGATTTAAGTGACTTTGAACGTGGCATGGTTGTTGGTGCCAGACAGGCTGCTCTGAAGATTTCAGAAACTGCTGATCTAACTGGGATTTTCATGTACAACCATCTGTAGGGTTTACAGAGCATGGTTCGACAAAGAGAAAATATTCAGTGAGCGGCAGTTCTGTGGGCGCAAATGCCTTGCCGATGCTAGAGGTCAGAGGAGAATGGCCAGACTGGTTCCAGCTAATAGAAAGGCAACAGAAACTCAAATAACCACTTATTACAACAGAGGTCTGCAGAAGAGCATCTCTGAATGCACAACACGTCCAACCTTGAGGCAGATGGGCTACACCCGGTGCCACTCCTATCAGCTAAGAACAGGAAACCAAGGCTACAATTCGCACAGGCTCACCAAAAATAGGACAAAAGAAGATTGGAAAAACGTGGCCTGGTCTGATGAGTCTCGATTTCTGCTGCGACATTCGCATGGTGTGGTCAGAATTTAGGGTCAACAACATGAAAGCATGGATTCATCCTGCCTTGTATAAAAGGTTCAGGCTGGTGGTGGTGGTGTGATGGTGTGGGGGATATTTTCTTGGCACACTTCGTACCAATTGAGCATCGTGTCAACGCCACAGCCTACCTGAGTATTGCTGCTGACCATGTCCATCCCTTTATTACCACAGTGTACCCATCATCTGATGGCTACTTCCAGCAGGATAACGCACCATAAAGCGTGAATCATCTTAGACTGGTTTCTTGAACATGACAATGAGTTCACTATAGTCAAACGGCCTCCACAGTCCCCAGCCTTTAATCCAATAAAGCACATTTGGGATGTGGTGGAACGGGAGATTTGCATCATAGATAAAAATCTGCAGCAACTGCGTGACGCTATTGTGTCAATATGGACTAAAATCCAGTATGAAGTATATTTCCAGTACCTTGTGGAATCTGTGCCACGAAGGATTAAGGCAGTTCTGAAGCCAAATTAGGGTCCAAACTGGCACTAGTACCTAATAAAGTGGCCGGTGAGAGTATATATAAATAAATATATATATATACATATACATACACACAAAAATGTCATACCTTGTTTTTTAAGGTAGTGTGCTGCGCGTTTCAGTACAGCAGGGAGGAAACAAGTGCCTTACCAAACAAATTATGGATCTGGTTTAAAGATGAAGGAGTGATGTTGTTCTCTTCATTTGAACTGAGACGTCAAAACAGCATTAAATGTTGAAAATAGACAAGATGAGAAGAAGATGAGACCATTTTTTCATAGCTTCTTGCGAATGTTAGATGTGAAGTGCACTAAAAATATTGACCTTAGACGGTTTTTAAAAAGATCTACTCAGATTTTTAATATTCCCAGAAGAAAAATAAAATAGGATTTTTAACCTAATATAGGATGTATTTAACTAATATTGAACCTCCGTTTGTGGCTCAAATGTAAACTGCGCTTTGTTCTGCCTCCCTCAGTTAAAAGCTCTGGGGTTTTCAGAAGCTCTGGTGGTCCAGGCCTACTTCGCCTGCGAGAAGAACGAGAATCTGGCCGCCAACTTCCTGCTCAACCAGAACTTCGAGGACGAATGAGAGCGAGCGATGGAGAGTCGCGAGTCCCGCCCCCCCTGCCACCACACAAAGCACTGCATCTACTCGGGACACCGGAGCCCCACATTATTTTTTTGGGTTTACAAGTAAGGGGAGACTGGCAGAGCGGTCGGGGGGAAAAGAAATCACACGCTCAACAGATTCCAGTGGAACTGACATTGGCATTTGGGTTGAATGCACTCTATCTAGCATGTTGAAGGGGTGTGTGGTGTGCACGTGTGCTCCTGTAGGGGGAAAATTTGACTAAATCAGCATCAACTGAACGCTGACGCTCTCAGTAGTAGTGTTACAGGAGGTTAGATGTATATTGCGGGCGTTCGCATTCGCTTGTTTGTTTTTTAGTTGGGCAAAGGATTAAATAAATAAGTCAAATGGAGGAGTTTTAGAGATTTCCAGAACATATTTCAGTATTTCGCACATTCATGACGAATGTGATGGGAGTAGTGTCATTTCTCAGCGACACAAATGATCTGCATTGATGCTGTTTTGTAAGTAAATTCGGTCACTTTATTTTGATGGTCCGTTTGTCGAATTTAAGTAACTAATACTCATTAGATTATAAGTAGACTTTTAGGTTGGGGTCATCCCTGTCAACATTTGTCCCTGAAAATCCGGGAGACCGGGAAGGGGGTTAGGTTTTGGGAGTGAGGTGTTGAATAACACTGTTGAGAACTGTGTACTGTGGTGTTATTAAATTTACTATGAAGCGTGTTTCAAGCGGCCGCTGGGATCGGATGCTATACCAATGTCGGAGACCCGGGGGTTTCACAGACCGTACCAAATTGCTGAGGAATGGGGGAGGGTGGGTGATGGTTGGAATTATGAGAGTTTTCCGGGAGAAATAACAATACGGGAGGGTGGTGGGAGATGGGTTTGAAATACGAGAGAAAAAAACGGGAGTGTTGGGAGGTATGGTTGGGGTTAATGTTATTATAAGTTGACATGTACTTGCAAATATTCTTATAGTCAGTTAAATGTCTATTAAAGGAGCAGTATCAACAGATATTAAGCTGACAGTCTACTAATACTCAAATGGACCATCAAAATAAAGTGTCACCATCTACTCATATCTTGATTGAGTATTACAAAACTGCATTAACGCATCGTTTGTTTGCACTGGTTAAAGTCACCATGAAATTGCAGTCTGAAATGTTTTATGGGTCCTGCTTTATATTAAGTGGCCTTAACTACTATATACTTGCATCAAAATGAATATACAATGTACTTAATGTGTTGTTGATGTATTGCAGAACACTTCTTAAGCTGGGATATGGGTAGGTTTAAGGGTGGGTTAAGGTGAAAGGGATGGTCAACAGTAATTAATTAACAAAATTATTTACAGTTAGTTATTTAATCAAGCATTAGTATGATGTAAATACATGTATTTACACAATAAGTACATTGTTACTAATGATTCATTTCACTGTTAGTACATATTAGTTAAGGCCCCATAATATAAAGTGGAACCATTTTATCAATTTGCATATCATACAGGGCATTTACACAAATGTGATTGGTTGTAAAAAAAAAGGTTAAAAAATAAATATAAAGCCAATTCTATTTGTTCTTTCTCGTTTTGAGGTTACACATTTTAAAATCCTGAAAAACACATTTTTAAATCGTACACATGAGACCCAGAAATGTGCTTTAAATCAGTGTTTCTCAACCCCGTTCCTTGAGGACCACCAACACTGCACATTTTTCTGTCTACTTAACCTAACACACCTGATTCAGATCAGCTCATAACCAGAGACTGAAAGACCTGTAATGGTTGTGACAGGAGACATCCAAAAACAGGCAGTGCTGGTGCTCCTCCAGGATTGTGGTTGAGAAACACTTCTTTAAAGGGACATTTCCATCCAAAAATAAACATACGCTTTCAGCTTATCTGAGGTTTTTAGCTGAAATTGTGATTCTTAAAATGCAAGTCAGCAACTGGCGCTACTTTCAGAGTCAAAAACACATAATAAATAGATGTGGCTACTGTTAATACATTGAGCTCTTATGAAGAGAACATTTCAACCTGTTCCAAACTGACGTTTCTTCCTTGAATGTTTCAGTTATAATGTTTTAAAGTTAAGATCAGGAGCCAGAGGTTTTGTCAGTAGTCACAGAGTTGCATTTTAGAAATCACATACTTGAATGTTTTGTTTAAAGTCACCTACATCTTGGATAGCCTGAGGTTGAGTAAATAAAAGGGATAGTTCACTAAAAAATGATAATTACACTTATTCTCCCTCATCTGCATTTAAAATTTCCTTTGTTGAATACTAAAGAAGATATTTTGAAGAATGCTGGTTGATAGCATCCATTGACTTCCATAGTAGTAAAAACATACAATGGAAATCAGTGTGTGTGTGTGTGTGTGTGTGTGTGTGTGTGTGTGTGTGTGTGTGTGTGTGTGTGTGTGTGTGTTCTTCAAAGCATCTTCATCTGTGTTCAACAGAAGAAAGAAAGCACTAATGAGTACTCTGAATTTTATTTTTGGGTGAACTATCCCTTTCAAATCAAGCGATCATCAATCATCAAACTGTTCCTTTAAGAAGCAAAACCAAATCAATTTCATGTTGACTTTAAAAGCATCTTTTTTAACTATCCTATTTAAATCTGAAGTAAAACAGCTCATTAGCATAAATAAGGATCATTTCTTAAGGCTGATTTATTCTTCTTTGTTGAGCGATCGGCGTGATCCTCTGCACCTTTTTTGCGCGTAGTCCTGCATTTATACTTCTGCGTGCTGTTTGTGTTGCTCTGTAATAACACCTCCGAAACACTAGCTGGCAGTAGGTTTTATGCTCCTCCGTGACGAGTTTCTTCGCCGCTGACCGCGTTCTTAAACAGCGCTGATTTGCTATTGTGTTCACCAGTGCTCAACAGAAATGACCGTGAAGGTCATCAGTTCACCAAGTGATAATCTCCCGGAAATCGCGCGTCTCCCTCCCGGTCCTTAAATAAGCCGTGCACCTTCTCACCCATCACCACCAGACACATCACCAGCTCTTCACATCACATCCACCTATGACGACGATGCCATCAACCATCCCGATGTTTCACATTAGACATCGTACGAGGCCAAATTCGTCGACATCGCCCTACCCTAACGCCTACTTCCAACCCTAAACCCAACCGTCACAGTACTGTAAAATTATGAATTATTGTTATACAGTGTCAATAAAAATGCTGCTATATTGATGCGCATATCGCACCTCCGGCAGGCCGCGTATCTGATCTAGACTTTACCATCTACTACCGGAAGTGCGATACGCACATCAATATAGCAGCATGTAAATAAATGTTTCCCAGAGATGGGTTGCAGCTGGAAGGGCATCTGCTACGTAGAACATGTGCTGAATAAGTTGGGGGGTTCATTCTGGTGGGGCGACCCTGGTTTAATAGAGGGACTAATCCAAAAAGAAATAGAATGAATAAATAAATACACACATATATATGTGTGTGTGTATATATATATATATATATATATATATATAAATAAAAATAAATGGGAAAGTTAATAATATAAATAATTCTCTAGCAACAACCCACCGCAGCTACGATTTTACTTTTAACAATGGCGGCCGAGTGAAATCAGGGTAAAGTCTAGATCGGATATGCGGCCGGCCGGAAGTGTGATATGCACATTAATAAAGCAGCATTTTTTTATGACACTGTATAACAATAATTAATATTTTTACAGTACTGTGAGGGTTGGGGTGGGGGTAGGAGTTAAAAAATACATTTTATTAGGTAATTTAATAGATAACATAACTAATACTCGGTACAACCACAGTTTTTACATTACTGTGACGGTTGGGTTTAGGGTGAGGGTAGACGTTAATAAAATACAACAAATGAGAAATGTAATAAATAATAGAAATAATTCGCGTTAACTTCCGGCCGCAAACATATCCGCTCTAGCAACAACCTGAAATCAGTCTATTGACCTTATTCTAAAATGCGGAAGTGCGCCTGTTTTCGCGATTGTCTTAGAACTTCCGATTCAGTCGCCTATGGGAGAAACGACTAGGAATAATAAACGGCAGAAAACAGTCAAACTGCTTGCTCTACAAACAAATGTTTGCATGACTATACAGACCAAGTCGAATAATATAATAAGAAAATATTAAATTGCAACATCAAGCAGCGTAACGAGCAGTTTTTAACGGCAAAAAATAAATGAAAGTGAAGGAGACCGGAAGTCTTGAGCCAAAAAGATTCAAATGGCAGCGCCCGCTCGTCGGCGGAGAATAAGGTGAATACGCTTCCCGCGCACAGACTGTGCTGGACCACACACGTGTGCTTGACACAGAATTACAAATCAGCCTTTAGACATGATACGCTCTTACATAACATGAGAGGACCAACCAGTACCATGATACAGAGCTTTTCAGAGTTCAGAGCATTTCACTAAACAAGCAGCAGAGGCCTGTTTCACCATGATGATACTCAAAAACATATCAGTGTAGAGCTGACAATGGCTTTCTCTGTTGAAGTGAACATTCACCTCTTACGTCAGACCGAAAAAGCCCTCGGCAGCACTTCACCTCTACATCATCATCATCATCTTCACCCAGTAAACAATCGCTCCTTTATAATAAAGTAGTCTCCAAAACTGCCAGACTTCAGTTTCACTCATCCGCAGGCCAACATGAAATCTGACCCGGAGGCTTTTAAAGCACGACGACTACATGAATGAAGCTTGTTACGCTGAATAAATGCATAGAGAGATGGTTTAATTAAAGAACGTGTGCGCGCGCACGTGTGTGTGTGTGTGTGGTGGAGATGCAGATTCCATGTGCGTCTGTTTATTAGTGACAATAGTTGATTTACTAAAAGCTTGACCTCTCCTGGGATCAATAAAAGAATCTTGCAAAGAAAAAGCTGCTGGTGGTTTTTGGACACGGGGTACAGTCAAGAACATCATTTATTCAATCAGGTGCTGCTCTTTACAAACATTTGAGGGTTTTTTTTTTTGTTGTTGTTTTTTTTCTTTATAATGGAAAAGAATCTGTAAATAACACATGCAGATTGCCTTGGGCTCCGGCGAGGAGGGGGGAGGTTTGTGGACGGACACTGGATCACAGATGACTACAGCTAGATTAACACATCTGCCACAGTTTTAGATATTCAGCGACATTTTGTGAGTCTATCGGGGTCGATTTGGAATTAGGGCCGCACAATATATAGTTTTAGCATCGATATTGCAATGTGTGCATCTAAAATAGGCATATCCCAAAGATATCTAATGTTGAGTCTGGATTATAGTTGATTAGGAGCTACAGGATCATATTTAATCACTGAATTTATATGATTTAACCAAAAAAAAAAAAAAAGAAAAGTTTTTTCTTGCTTCTAGTCTGAATATTTACAATTCAAAGTGAAAACAAGATTATTTTGCTCATCCCACTGGCAGATCATTTAGCTTATTTTAAAGAAAAACTCATAATTTTGACTTGTTGGAAACAAAACAGTATTTTTACACACTCCAAGACTTTTTTCTGGATATTTGGACTAGAAACCAGACAAAACAAACTAACCAAAGCATATTTTTTCATTGTGATTAATCAGTTTCTCTATATAAAAACTCATGAAACTGTATCCATATCGCAGCTGGAAGCGCATCCGCTGTGTAAAACATATGCTGGATGAGTTGGCGGTTCATTTCACTGTGGCGACCCATGATTGATAAAGGGACTAAGCCGAAAACAAAATGAATGCATTGATATCGCAATGTGCGCATCTAAAATAATCACATGGCAAAGATGTGCACTGTTGAGTCTGGATTATAGTTGATTAGGAGCTACAGAATTATATTTAATCTCTGAATTTATATGATTTATCAAAAAAAAAAGAAATTTTGTCTTGTTTCTAGTCCAAATGTCTACATTTTGAAGCAAAAACTAGATTATTTGGCTCATCCCACTGACCGATTTCTCCTAATTTTGACTAATTTCTTCTCAAGTGTGAAACAAAACAATATTTTTACATGCTTTAAGACACAGGTGTCAAACTCAGTTCCTAAAGGGCCGCAGCTCTGCACAGTTTAGTTCCAACCCTAATTAAACACACCTGATCAAACTAATTGAGTCCTTCAGGCTTGTTTGAAACCTACAGGTAAGTGTGTTGGAGCAGGGATGGAACTAAACTGTGCAGGGCTTCGGCGCTCCAGGAATTGAGTTCGACACCCCTGCTTTAAGACTTTTTTTTTTTCGGATTTCTGGACTAGAAACGAGACGACAAAATATGTTTTTCATTGTGATTAATCAATTCCTTTATCTAAAAACTCTTGAAACTATCCATATCGCAATGTACATCACAGAAAAATCCAATATCAGATTTTTCCAATATCATACAGCCCTATTTGGAATAAATAAGTCCTGATGTAAGGCAGTATTGAGGATTATAACACTGATTTTGCTGCTACTCTTGAAGAGAATAAAAATAACCTAAATGAATGTATAAGTATATGAGGCTGTTGAATTTAGATGACAATAAGTGCATGGACAGTATTAAGGCTATCTCACAGCAGGAATGATAATTATATTACCATCCAAACTATGTTAGTGTCATAAGTGCTTTTTCAGATATATATTTAGACATTTATTCAAATGTGTAAAATAAAATCCCCGTTATTTGTACAGTATTTGGGTCAAATTGACCTGCAAGTTGCAAGTAGCCAATTGTACCGCTCATTTTTTAAGTGTTAGAGCAGGATGGATTCTGATTGGCTGTTAATTCACCAGCTGGGTAAAGTGACCAGAATGATAAAGTCCTCTTTTATCGGCATTATCATAATTGTGATGTAGACCAGTGTTACCCAATGCTGTTCCTGAAGGCACATCATGAACACATTTTCAAGGTCTTCCTAATCAAACACACCTAAATCAACTCATCAGAGCATTAGAAATCCAAAACCTGAAGTGAATGCGTTAGATAAGGGAGACATCTAAAATGTGTAGTGCTAGTGTGCCTCTGGGAACTGCATTGGGAAACACTGACCTACACTGCTTTTACTGTAGAATTAGATTTTGGTGATAATACCAAAATCCTCAGTCAGGTCTCTTTAAACAGCTGGACTCGCTCAAAGTCAACAGTGAGACTCTGACTTATGAAGGAAATGGAAATAAATAACTAAACTAGAGCTGCTACGCATGCTCCGATCCAGTGCTCTCCGTCCACATCCCAAAACAACATCTGCTAGCAGGACCGCATGTTACTGTCAGGACGGTCCTGCTTCAGATTCAGCACAGAGCCCGCTGCGTTTGACCCAAGAGAGAGAGAGAGAGAAAGAGAGAGATGTGTATGATATAAACATGTGAAGCATACAGACAGGGATATAACATTAGAGTTTACAACATCTTGCTCAAAGAGAAAAAGGTTCAACATTTTTTTTTTCCAACTCTTTCATCAAAAGTAGGGAGGAAAGATAAGGATAGACATCTAAGAGCAGAGCGAGAGACTGATAAAGACAGAGGTACAGAGAAAAAGGGACTTTTTTCTTTTTTTTTTCTTTCTTTTTTTTGTCGTCCATCATTGTACAATAAAAAGAACGAAATCACATCCATTTTGTAGCACTATATACTGTGTATACGGCTTGAGAAAAGCTCAGGAGGAGGAAAAAGACAAGGGCGTTCATCATTTACAAGATGGTGTCTGTGAACAAAAGGCACTTTGAATGGGACAACCTTTAAATGCTCACCTATACACTACAGCACGAACACTATGGGAGCTCATTTACATACAGGACGATACGGGCGGCCATGTTTTTTTTTTTATGTTTTGTTTTTTATTTTCCCCCCGACGCATTTCTGACTCTCGTGTGCTCTAAACTACGACTAACAAAACCCTACACACGTTCACATCGACACGATCTCACCTAAACGAATCTGATTGCTCGCGACGCTTCTTATTGACCTTTTCTCCAACCGAAACATTTTTCATCTGGGATTGGTGCGTTTGAGATCCTAAGCGAAGATCGTATTTAAGAGTTGCCATATTGTTTGACAAGTCAAAAACAAGTTAGCTATTATTGATACATTAAAGACTTAAAGGTCCTGTGAAGTGCTTTGAAATGTGCGATTTTATTCGATGTTTGACATGATCTCAACCGAACTACGAAGAGAGGGTGGGGCATAGTTTAGCCCCTCCCCTTTTTAAAAACAGCCAATAGTGTTTTGTTTTATGACAGCTCTGCCAGTGACAGTGGTTGAGCTCGAGCGCATCAAATTAGAAGCGTCTTGAAGGGGGCGGGGCATGTCAGATACTAGAGAGCATTTGATTGGTCATAATTTGATGAGAAACTGAAGTATGAGGTGACGTGAATAAAACCGTTGATCCTTTTAGGAGGACAAACTACAAGCTTTACATGTTTATATCAGTTTTATTTCTTCTCAGTGTTTGGTGGGAGCACTTTTAGCTTAGCTTAGCATAGATTATTGAATCGGATTAGACCATTAGCATCTCATTAAAAAATGACCAAAGCGTTCCAACTAGCCATATTGACCTAGACAATAGCAATATTTTATTTTTAATCCATTCAGTCACTCAGTGTGTTACAGGAGAACTTTTAGCTTAGCTTAGCAGATCATTGAATCGGATTAGACTATTAGCATCTCACTCAAAAATGACCAGAGTTCCTATTAGCCATATTGACCTAGACAATAACAACTTTTAATTTTCAATCCATTCAATCAATCTTAGTGTCTGGTGGGAACACTTTTAGCTTAGCCTAGCATAAATCATTAAATCAGATTAGACCATTAGCTTCTTGTTCAAAAATGACCAGAGTTCCTACTAGCCATATTGACTTAAACAATTGCAACTTTTAATTTTCAATCCATTCAATCAATCTCAGTGTCTGGTGGGAACACTTTTAGCTTAGCCTAGCATAAATTATTAAATCGGATTAGACCATTAGCATCTCGTTTAAAAAAAAGACCAAAGAGTTTCTACTAGCCATATTGTCCTAGACCAGGGGTTCTCAAACTCTGTCCTGGAGGTCCGGTGCCCTGCAGATTTTAGCTCCAACTTGCCTTAATATACAGGATGTTTCTAAACAGCCTAATGAGAGATTGATTAGCTAGCGCAGGTGTGCCTGATTGGGGTTGCAGCAAAAATCTGTAGGACACAGAACCTCCAGGACCGAGATTGAAAACCCCTGACCTAGACAATAGCAACTTTTCATTTTTAATCCAAAGTGGGCGCACTTTTAGCTTAGCTTAGCATAGATAATTGAATCGGATTAGACCATTAGCATCTCGCTCAAAAAAAGACCAGAGTTCCTACTAGTCATATTGACCTAGACCAGGGGTTCTTAAACTCAGTCCTGGAGGTCCTGTGTCCTGCAGAATTTAGCTCTAACTTGCCTGCAATGATTTTTCAAGACAGCCCAGTAAGAGCTTGATTGGCTAGTTCTGGTGTCTGACTGGGGTTGGAGCTAAAATCTGCAGGACACCGGAACTCCAGGACTGAGATTGAGATCCCCTGACTTAGACAATAGCAACTTTTCATTTTTAATCCATTCAGTCAGTCTCAGTGTCTGGCAGGAGCACTTTTAGCTTAGCTTAGCATAGATCATTGAATCGGATTAGACCATTAGCATTTCAAAAACGAATAGAGTTTCTACAAGCCATATTGACCTAAAAAATGGCAACTTTTTTAGTAAAAAGAAAGCAGAGACTAAGGGGTAGAAATGGGATTAGGTCTTAAAAGCACTCGGAAATGTTTCCTTTAAATGTAGTAATGCTGTAAACAATGCTGTTTCTCTTCACAGGATATCAATGTATCATTAGGAGCCATTGATGTTAATTTAGTTTAGCCTCTGTGGGTTTTTTTGACCCTCAAAGTGCTTGTTATGAATCACCAAGGGCCACCGTTTCAGCTAAAAATCTAATTAAAAGCCACAATAACAGCAAATTAATATTTATGGGGGAAATACTTCAATATAGCAACATCCTAAATACGATACAATCGTTCGCTCAGGATCTAAACACGCATTATTTCTCCTGACGTTTGAAGGAAGTAAAAAGGGGCGCTGCTTTATTAAAGGTTGTAGTCAAATGCCTTTTGTCAGAACCAATCAAATCTGAACCCCTCTTTCCTTTAGTAAATACAAAAGAGAGAAACAGAGTAAAACAGTCGTCCTGGTGTGGTATTATTCGCTTATGAGTAACAGAAGCACCAGTATTTTTTCTTTTCTTTCCCGTAATACGTTCCGCTTTCGTAAAATCGTTCCACCCCCCCTAAAATAGTTTACAAATAAAACATAAAAAGATAAATGAAAAGTAAAAAGGAACTTCCCCAACGCTTACAAAGACTGGGATTCATTTTTGAGGCCCTCGTGTTTAGAGTCCCGGAGCTCGCAGACTTTAACCTATTCTTAAATTCATTTTTTTTAACGTGTTTTTTTTTTCCACTTTGCTTTCTTAAAAATCTGAAGACAAACACAGATATCTACCCAACACATTGCACACGGCTCAGTCCACATAGAACTTGTTTTTTTTTTTCGTCGTCTCTCAATCAATAATAACACTTCTTCAACAAAGAGAAAATGCTTCGTTTTCTCTGAAAAACAAGTTTGATCTCTATCCGCACTGACCTGAAACGACGGATGATCGACTTGCGCGTTTATTTAAATCGGTTTGGATGATGTCACTGACTCGGATGAAGGTCAAAAAATAACTAGACTGCCGTAGAGCTCGGAAGAACTATACATATGTCCATATTTTTTTATATATATATACACAGTATGCGTGCGATATGTTCTGGATAACATAGATCTATAAATATGATGTTTGCCGTTGCGCTCATATGCTGTTTGCTAAGCCCATGATACATATTGTACATATTTTTCTGTAGCTTATACGTGAAGTGAAGACCCTGAATTGCATGTAAAGGGGACACCGAGGCACTTTGATGTGTTTCAAGTGGATGATGAGAAAAAAAATCGTCAGCTCTCAGCCAATCAGAGTCCCTGACTTGTGATTGACAGCCAGGCAGTCCAGTTATTTAGTGAGGTCAGTGGTTTAGGGATTGGATCACGTTTTGATTTGAGAGGGGTTCGAGTTTAAAGGCTTCCCTTTGTCCTTTAAGGATGTGGGTGTGTGTGTTATAGTGCAATGTTTGTGTGTATGTGTGTGTGTGCGTTTAGTTTATCACTGTGCTGAAAGGCTAAATGAAATGAGAAGATTGTCTTGTGAGTCAGGCTGAACCGGTGAACTAAGAAAACGAAATTACCAACGTGAAACAAGTGAACAATGAACGAACTGTCAAGTGATGGAGAGTTTGATTTGTAGGAAGGGTAGAGCATGTCATAGAAGCGACCTCAAATATCTGATTAATGAAGAGCAAAACTGGAGATTGTCTGTTTGTAAGTCACATTCAAGCTGAAGGAGAGATTATTATGCTGAACACGGAGGAAAAAACAGCACAAATCCAACATGCAGCGTCTGATCAGCCGGCTACGCAAACTAAAACTCGCACGAAACCAGAAAACAAACAAGTATTTGATGAACGCCACAAAAACACGTCACATTTCACCCTGAAACCAAAAGAAAAATGACATTTAAAGTCTCATTTTGTATTATTATTCATTTTGATGACAATTAAGCATATATTTATTTACGGCATGTAATAATTAATAAATAAATAATACATCAAGTGTTTTGCATGACTGTGCGTTCACACCGAAAGCGGCGAGAGCATCTTAAGTAGCTGGAAGTCATTCGTTTTCAATGGGAGGAATAAGTGGCGAGGATCAGCGCGGCGCATCTTCGCCGGTGTGGGCGTCAAGGAGAGTTAAAATCAAGTTATGTTTGTGGTAATGAGCTATGACGCTGTTCAGGGGCAAGCAATCGCAATGCTGAAGTCTACCTCTTAAGAGTACTGTACACTTCGAGCACAGTGGTTCCCAAGGGTTAGATTATTGCAGTCGCCAGATTCCCAATTATTTACGATGTTTTCTGTGTATCTTGAATGTGAATCTTATGCTAACTATAATGACTTCAAAATATTTCAGACATATGGACACATATTGGATAAGTGGAGCAAAGCCACACCAACGTAACATCTTGATCTTCCATAGTTAAATGAGTTTGATCAAACGTGCTCAACATTTTCATGCTAGAAAGCATTTTTTTATGTAGGAATGTAACTGATTTGCTGATATCCTGCAACGGCTCATTTAAATACGAGATCGATGTAGTCAATTTTGACGCTCTCCCTGCCGCAGCTGTGAAGGCAGATAGCGTTGTCGCCAGAGCGAAGTTTGTCGCTCTTTGGTGTGAATGCACAGTTACAGCGTCATAATGAGATTATAATAATGAGTATTTGTAGGTAAATTGACTTATCACCTAAAATAATTTCGCAATTAAAGACTACACTGTAAAAAACATAATGGCTTCTTTTAAAATGCTTAAGTTGAGTCAAATTAAGTCATTTCGATATAAACCGACTTTAAACTTTGACTTAACAAAAAATTAAGTTGAAATCTGATTACCTTGCACTAAAAACTTAATTGAGTTGTGTTGAGTCAAATTAATTTTTAAGTCATTTCGATATAAACTGATTTAAAACTGACTTACCTTAAAAAATTAAGTTGAAATCTGATTACCTTGCACTAAAAACTTAATTGAGTTGTGTTGAGTCAAATTAATTTTTAAGTCATTTCGATATAAACTGATTTAAAACTGACTTAAATTAAAAAAATAAGTTGAAACCTGATTAACTTGCACGAAAAACCTAACTTGACTGAGTTGAGTGTCATTTCATTATGAATTGTCTTAAAACTTTGACTTAACGTAAAAAAATAAGTTAAAATCTGATTAACTTGCACTTAAAACTTAATTGAATTGAGTCAAATTAATTTCTAAGACATTTCTAATTAAACGGGCTTAAAATGACCCAACTTAAAAAATTAAGTTGAAACCTGATTAACTTGAACTAAAAAACTTAACTTAGATGAGTTAAGTCAAATTAATTGAAGTCATTTTGATATAAACTGACTTCATTTTTTATAGTTTTAAGTCAGTTGATATCGAAATGACTTTTGAGAAATTAATTTGACTCAAACTCAATCAAGTTAAGTTTTTAGTGCAAGTTGATCAGGTTTCAACCTAATTTTTTAAGTTAGGTCAGTTTATATCTAAATGGCTTAGAAATTAATTGGACTCAATTCAATTAAGTTTTTAGTGTAAGTTAATCAGATTTCAACTTATATTTTTACGTTAAGTCAAAGTTTTAAGTTGAAACCTGATTAACTTGCACTAAAAGCTTAACTAGAATGAACTGAGTTAAATTTATAATCAAGTCATTTCAATATAAACTGACTTAACTTTGGCTTAACTTAAAATAACTTAAGTTAAAATCTGATTAACTTGCACTTTTGCTGCTTGTTCAAACTACTTATTTAAAATGAGTTGAAACCATTCTTAATGTTTTTTTGGACAACTTAAATTTGTAAATAAAACAATTAAGCAATTAAACTTTAATAGGATTATACTGAAATTGTGTGTAACCCAGTGTATTTATGACAGTTTAAGTCGTATAATTACTTTACAGTGTATCTAATGAAATAAGCTCACGTTTTCAAAACACATTCTTATATTTCTGATTTGATTTTGAGGTGAAATGTAACCTGGAATGCTTTTGTGACAAAACAAAAGTACTGCAAAACCAAACGCAAAGCAGAAGAAGCCCACGTTTGCATGGGCTGACCGGATATATATATTAATCCGCAAGCACTCAGATTGATCGATGGATGCGTGAAATAAACAAAAAACCATCATCGCTTTGCTTTTCTGACTCAAATCACTGGCCTTTTCATTCATGAACACTACAAAATGAAAATAAATGAGTCACAAGCTGGACATTACGGTCACTCGTGCTTGACCCTTCCCATTCCTGGTGTCTATGATGCTGTGTGTGTGTATGTGTGTGTTACCTCGGAAACATGTAGCCTGACTCCACATCGCAAATCTAAGGCCAAAAAAGCGTCATCCCTTACCAATAATCAAATAGTGCATACATGTCGGTGAATTGCACGCGGTTAGTGTTATCGGTTGTTTCGCTCACAGTCTATTGCTCGTCAACGGGTAAAAACACACTGCGAAAAAAAAAAGTCAGGAGCCAATCAGAAGGCTCCAACCGAAGTCTCTCCATCCAATCACACGCCTCCGGTGATTGACATTCCATTTCAAAAGTCGCTTTCAGTTTCCAAAAACAAAACAAGAGTTCTGAGTGGGAAGAGATGGATTTTTCCTCAGCGTATGACGTATGGATGAAGAAATCAGGGGCGGGAAAATCAAGCGACGGGATTGGTCAATGTTTTTGGAATCCTCCAAGTGGGTTCTCCAGACTGGCAGGATAATGCTGAAGCCTTCCAGATTCCTCATCCGAAAGAGAGCCAGTGTTTTTTTGGGGGGGAATTGTGTGTGCGTTTGTGTGTGCGTGTGTTTGCGTGACACTTTACAGGGCGTTGCGGGAAAGTTTGTGACTGTTTCCAGTTTTCGCTGTGGATCTTCTTTGTGTTTGTGTGTTCATGAAAAGTCTCGTCAAAGGAACCATGACTGAAAGAGAAGAAACAGCGAACGTGAGTCACTCTGATCAATCAAACGCTTCATAAACATTCATTTTGAATCTGATGTAAAGCTCTTTACTCGTTGCGGTCAGGGTTTAAGAAGAAAAGACATGGATCATTTTGAGCAGGGGTGTCAAATCCAAACTTGCTAAGGGCCACACTGAGTGTTGTGAGTAAAGTCAGGGGCCATACATACACATATTTAAAAATTATTTATTTATTGGAGAATGTATTAACAACTGTATAACATCTCTTACACTTCATTAAACCACATTTATCAAAATAGTAAGGGTTTACATTTACAGTTTTTCTTGATTGCTTTGACCTGGTTAAAGAAACTAGGTTCCACTTCATTTTCACTCTCCAAGCAGAGCAGAAGACCGGTCTTGCAAATGTGTAAACTCTTTCTCATTGGGTTGACACATTTTCCCCACCATTTTTCAAAACAGTTACCACGGATGTCATTCAAGCAGTCCAAACTCCATTCTTTTAGCTATTGTAACCAAACAGAAACCATCTATTCCTAACCATTAGGCACTACCAAGATCAGTATAAATTCACTGAAGCACCGGTTTGACACTCCTTCACACAAATCTTCAATTAACAATCAGTCTGCAAACATTAAAAATGGTGGAAGGTTAGAACAATAATGTTTTATTTTTTATCTCAAGACTGCCCATCGTGGGTGGAGATGGAATCAATTGGCATTAAGTCTGGTCTACCTTTAAACTTGTATTTATATTCAGCAGAATTTAAAGATCTAAAAAAAAAATGTTTCCAATCCCATAGTTATAAATATGATTTCCGTATGGTTTGACATAAAAAAATATTTAAGTGCCAGCTATCCCTTATCTTATTTCAGTCCAATTTGGGGCAATAAAAAATTTAAACCAGGTGCGTTAGATGCAGGATTCAAGATATGGGCAGAGAAAGGAATTAGAAAGATAGCAGACTTGTATGTTAACAATATTCTAATGTCATTCGAGGAAATTGTGAGTAAATATAATATTCCTGCAAAACATTTCTTTAAATATTTACAAATACGAGATTTTATCTTTAAATTACAAAATAATTCTCTAGATATGCCATCATTCTCTATTTTGGAAAACGTAATAACTAAAGACTGTTTTAGTGGAGGTTTAATTTCGGCATTATACAAGATGCTGGTGTCAGCATCAAAGGAATCTTCAAATTGTAAATTGGAAGCTTGGAGATTAGATCTTGAGGAGGATATTTCTACAGAGGACCGGATGAAGATGTGCGAGGAAGCTCAATCACTAACAATGAACGCTCGTCTAAAACTGTTACAATATAAATGGTTGATGAGGATTTATATAACTCCAGTTTTATTGCATAAATATAATGAAAATATTCCAGATACTTGCTTGAGATGTAGGGACCAAAAAGGAACGTTGTATCACTGTATATGGGAATGTAAAGGAATACAGAACTTTTGGAAATGTATGAAAGAAATTATAGAAAATATTCTTGAGGTTTCTATACCAATGTCTCCTTTAATTTTTTTAGTTCATTTATATCCCAAGGAGATCAAGTTAAAAAAGATGGAGCAAATGTTTTTGAATATATGTATTCTACAAACGAAACGGCTTATTTCTTTAAATTGGAAAAGTATATGTGCACCAACTATAGGTTGTTGGCTGAAAGAGATGGTGACAAATATGAAAATGGAAAAAAATAACTTGTATGATAAGAAATAGATATATTATTTTTGATAGAGTTTGGGGACCTTTTACACTGTTTTTAAAAGGTGGTGGATTTAGAAATGTTTTACTAGAAGATTAGTAATAGAGGTGATGTTGTATTTTGATGTAAAATACTGAGAAGCCTTTTGTTTTGTTTTTGGTTTGTTTGTTCATTTGTTGGTTTGTTGGTTTGTGTTGGAATTGACACATGGAAATGTGTATGTACATGTTACTTAAAATATAATAAAAAGGAATTGGAAAAAAAAATGGTGGAAGGTCTGTGTTGTTCTGTGCCAGCATGGATGGAGGAGGTCAATAGTGGCTATGTCCTATACTCCCAATAGATTTGACTGTATATTTGTTTACATGTGTTTTCTCTAATATTTACAGTATTTTATTACTTTTGACTGTTTTTACAGTATTTCAGTTTTCAGTCACAGTTTGAAAATTGTCATGAATTCAAAATATATTTAATCAAAGCATTTCTTATTCCGGATCCAATTCTTTGCAAAAAGGCAAATTTGACTGCCCAAATAGAAAGACAACAAATGGCGTTGGCAATAAGCTACAATGACAAGCAATGGTGGTGCACTGAGTTATGTATTTTGTTGTCCATTGTGTAATGATTAATTGAAAGAGCTCATATACTTGTTTGCAAGTTGTGTTGTTTGAAGGTAAAACAAGCTTTTGTTTAATATTTTAAATGTTTTGACACGATTTGTGCCTTTTGCAAGCAAAATGTGTCATTTTGACCATGAGTGCCGCAGTTTAGGCCTCTGTGTTAACTGTTTTGAAAATGTGGAGTTTCAGTTGACAACTGCATCCAAGCAATTGAGAAAAACTGTAATTTGTGTCACATCAGGTTTTATCGGTAACACTTTATAATAACTACACACTATAAATCATTTATTAAGCATTAGCATTTAGTGAATTCATTTTTTGTTAAGCATTAACTCTACATTAATAAACGTTAGTAAGCAGTTTATAACTGTAGCTACAAATGCTGTATACTTGACTTATTAGCACCTCTATAATGTGTTTAATAATTGTATTTTCATACTTGGTTAATGATTTATATTTCATTACTAAATTAAGTATCGCATTATTTACAAACCATTTGTATTTAGGAGTTGTTGAGGGTTTTTAGGATAATTTAAAATGAGTTAGTAAATGATTAATAAAATATTAAAATCAACATTTATATATTTTATTATTCAGGCATATAGTAATAGTTAACTAAAATGTTAATATATGATTTATTAACATATCTTCACGCAGTTTTGTGACCTAATTTAAAGTGAGGACTATTTTGCTTTATCGAGTGTCATTTCTCAGAATTACCACTAGAGTACAGTGGACCATTGCAGAGCGGCTCAAAGTCAGCTACATGAATACTCCAGCAAAGCCAACACTCTCTCCAGCTGGCTTTAACATGTTTAAATAGACATTAGATGATATCTGAAGACAAGAAAACAAGACTTTTCTGAAGTTCTGGCTCAAACTTTTCCAATCACCACGAGACCCGTTTGATCTTTGTGTATTGTTTGGCTCTGCTCATTCCCTCAGAGCGTCCATCTTTCTGCTAAGTTCACTACTATTGAAGTTCATGTTCAACTACCTATGACATCATGTCTGGTTGCTCGGGGCAACCAGACAGTCGGGACGTGACTCTTTTTACCCTCTGTCTCTTTTTGTCCCGTCAGATGTCCGCTCTTCTATGGGCCTGCATGTTAAAACTACTCTTAAGCAGAACTATCTGTAGTGCGCCACGTGAGAGAGTATAAAAATGACAGTCTGAGCTAGAGTAAAGTACTTTTTACCTAAGTGGAGGTGTTTAGAAGGATAAATCTGTTTTTTTTTTCTCCATGTGGCCGCACATATGTGGGAGATTCTTTGCATTAAGCCTCCAGAATAAAAGCGGGAACAAACCGCAGTGGGTTTTCTTAACATTTTGATGACAGGTGGCGTTTCAGCAAGAGACAGACTGACTTAATCTCATATATGCTGGAGCTGGACATTTATTGGGGCTGTTGTTTAAAGGGATAGTTCACCCAAAAATGTCCTGTTAGATTTCAGATGACTTGAAGGTGAGTAAATTAACAATATTTTTTCTTTTTTTTTTTTTTGGATAAACTCACCCTTTAACCATGCCATATTATACATTATACAGTACTAATAGGATTTAAGAAGCTCCACATTAATTCGGGCTGTTATTTAAAGGGGTTGTTCACCCCAAAATTTCCTGTTATGTTTTTAGATGACTTGAAGGTGAGTAAATTAATAGGAAATGTTAATTTTTTGGATGAACTAACCCTTTAACAATGCCATATTATACACTATACAGCGGTAATAGGATTTAAGGAGCTCCACATTACTTTGGGCTGCCATTTGAAGGGGTAGTTCACCCCAAAATTGAAATGTCCTATTTAAGGGGGGGGGAGGGGTGAACTACACTGTAAAAAGTCATTCTGTGGCCTTGTATATTTCATTAAATGTAATACGTACACTTTATTTAATAAAATTAATTTCCTGTTTTTAGGCCATTTTTTTGCTTTGAAATGACTTAAAAATGTATGTAATAAAATCTAATAAATGTTATTATAAGAATTTTACTATTATTTTTTGAATAATGTAAAGAAGAGAAAATATTGATTAAATCCAACTTGATTAAAATGAGCATTTTCAAATTCACAATCAGTTTCTGTTACACCGATCAATAATTAAACTAATAATTTTGGTTACAATTTACTAATTATTTTAAGTACTGATCTCAGGTACTTATTTTAAATAACTAATTTTAAATAAGCCAATTTAATTAATTGATACTTAATCTATAATTGTTGAATTAAATAATAATATTGCTTGTAATCTGTTACCTCAATTTTATTAAGTAGATATAGTGTATCATTTTTTACAGTGTATCCCTTTAACCATGCCATATTATTCATTATACAGTAATAATAGGATTTAAGGAGCTCCACATTAATTCAGGCTGTCATTTAAAGGGGTAGTTCACCCCAAAATTTCCTGTTAAGTTTTTAGATGACTTGAAGGTGAGTAAATTAATAGGAAATGTTCATTTTTTGGGGGTGAACTAACCCTTTAACCATGCCTTATTATACATGATACAGTACTAATAGGACTTAAGGAGCTTGAAATTAATTCGGGCTGTCATTTAAAGGGGTTGTTTACCCCAAAATTTCCTGTAAGTTTTCAGATGACTTGAAGGTGAGTAAATTAATAGGAAATTTTCATTTTTGGGGTGAACTACTCCTTTAACAATGTC